GTGCACAAATTCTTGCCATAATCCGCCCAAGGCCGTTTGTGTAAAAGAGTCTCCTTCTCTTATTGCACTCATTTGGTGATTTAGACATCAATTTTAAAACCAATCTAAATATAGATCAGAATTTTAATCAGATTGTTTTAAAACATAATCAATTGACCTTATAAGGTCAGAGTATATTCCATTTCCCAGTCCTGTTGTATGTTGTAAGACACTTGTGAGCAGTCCTTCTGATTTTTGAGTCTGAGTCTCTGTTAAATCCATCCAAAGCTTCAGCAACATCGAACTCTAGATGAGCGGGCGATCCATCACACAGAGTATGTAAAACCTGCTGTCGAACGTTTACAGCCTCATCGTCAACCATTTCTAGGACACGTTTCCAGAAGTCGTCATGATCCTTTTTTACTCGACATGGACACATTTCCTGTGATAGAAATGATTCTTGATATTTTCAAAAATAGACAGGCATCTATAAACAACATACCAAGCTTTGTAGAATAAACCCGAGTTCAAATATATACAAAAGATCCTACTCGACTGAAGGCAGGGTCCTAAGGTATTTACCCCCAAAAATATTGCTGAAACATTTGAATTGTCTTATTATACCCATGTTGTTGATAGCAAAGAGCGGTTCTTTGAGTATATTTGTAATTTTTTTTATGGCCTACTAATATTGATGTTATTTGAGGTTAAATTCTGTCGCTAGTATACATATGAATTTTTGTATACTTAGTATTTCATTTACTCAAAAATGCATGTGTTCTGTCTTAAAGCATAATACCATTTTAAATGTTTATTATGTATACAGATCAAAATATCGCATATCCATATCATAACTTATATCTTAGAAAATGATTTTTAAGTCCAAATATGTTAATCAAAGTTGTCTGAGCGTATTTTTTCATGATTATAATATAATAATTACATTACATGTAGGTTTCATATGAATCCGTACTTTTGTTTGGCTGACCGTGAACAATCAGGGGCGGATCCAGCCATTTTTAAAAAGGGGGGGGGGGGTTCCAACTATATGTCCCCATTCAAATGCATTGATCGTCAAAACAAAGGGGGGTTCCAACCCCCGGAACCCCCCCCCCCCCCCCCAACTCTGGATCCGTCACTGACAATCGAGAGGCATTCCAAAATTAGATTTTATTTCACAATAAAATGTAACATTCACGACAGCACGTGCTTACTGTGACAACGTCACAACAATGCACAGGAAAACAAACGAAAATTTTGATATAACTCGTAATTTCAAGATTGAAGCATAAAAATGCGATTATAAGAATTATTAAGAATCCTTCTTTTGTAATTTTATAGGGTTGTAAAAGCGTTGCCATGATCGCGCGCACATTTTTAGAAGCGCTTCATGAATACAAAATGTGTTTCGGTCAACGCGTATGCACCCAAGTAAAATTACAAAAAGGAGCATTCAATTCTTAAAATAGCTAACGAAGTTGTTTATTAATCAACTTACTTTGAGAGCTCTCTGTCTGACCTGAGGATGAGAATGCTTAGTCAGTTCTATAATGGTTTCTATGGTAGTAGTATCTCTACACAGCCTCATTGCTTCGTTTACTGGCAAACTAGAGATTTCTGTCATTTTGATTTTTTCTCCGAGACTCTGCTCTGTTTAAAACTGTACACCGTCTATGTTTATATACTGTTTTATGATCCATTCTATATTTAGTCGATTTAATCATATATGAATTTACCTTTAGTTGTGAAATGTGGTGTGTATTGACTTGTGTTGTGAAACTACAATCAGGTAAATTCGTGTAGTATATACACTATTGATTTTAATTAGATAAAAAACCATTTTTTTTACTAACAAAAAGTGCAAAACTTGATAAAAAAAGAAACAAGATCAAAACCAATATAATTAAAATATATTTTTTACATAGATCTCTGGTTTCGTTATTTTTATATATACGAGCACGCGAGTTTATACAGATTTGAATTTTAATTAGATTGAATCAAAATCTAACCCAGTATCTTTTAAAATGTAAAGCATGTAAATTTTTCACATTTCCATTTTAGGGCTATTCAATTAAGAATTTTTGATTCTTGAGTATGGCCTTACATGACAAACGGAAATGGGGCATTATATTTCACTGTTTTTGCCGATAAAAATGGAATGCATGTTTTAGCTAGATTTTCACATTTATATTTTTCTTATACATTCAAATAATTGTAAACTATATACTTATGACTTTTTATCATATGACTTTCCGTCCGTTTATCCAAAGGTAACACCGCATGTACAGTGCAATATTATATTAAAGTATAATAGAGATTTTTTTTTCAGAAACGAGTGTCTAATAGTCATTTCTTCCTTCAGCAAAATTTACAAAAAATGGTACCAGTTTTGTGTTATCAACTCCTCCAGCTTTCAATCCAGATCTCTGAAACTTCACCGAAAGATTGCACACGTATTGAAATTGTGCACTTGCTACTATAGAGTTATTTGTGGGATGAATGAATGGTTTATTATAGTGCAACCTGTATATACACAACAAATAAATATTAGACCAATATTACATTACAGCCATCCAAGTAGGCTTACGATACACCCAGCCATATTAAAACGCAACATACTTGAAAAAAAATACAAAAAGTTTTAGATGAATGGCTATATATAAGTTATTAAAAAACCAAACAGTTAAAGTGAAATAATTAGAGAATTTCTCTTCGGATACGATCATAGTCTAAGATAAAGATTGCTATAGGCATTTGCTGTAGTCAGGGGCGGATCCAGGATTTTAGGTTTGGGGGAGGAGCGCAAACTTAAATTTTTTTTAGATAAAATTATCGAAATATTCTATATTAGTCTGAGGAAAACCCATGCTTTTCAAATTTTAGGGGGGAGCGCACGCCCGCCACGCCCCCCCCCCCGCCTGAATCCGCCCCTGGTAGTTGTTAGAACATGAACAGACTACAGCTAAGTTGTCAATCCAGACCCTTTATACATAATGATTGCACATATATTTCAGTTCTGCACCTTCTATCATGGAACTGTTTTAGCAATTTTCCCACAGGCACTTGTCTGAAGAAAAAAAAGTCATATATAATACCTTTATATATAGGAGAAAAAAAACTTCAGAGACATGGTGCCTGTGAATTTTCCCCCATTTTCCATGACTTCGGAACTTGGTCATTAATCCTGCAAAAATTTAAAAGATAGTAAGTATTTTTGTATTTAACACAGATCTTTAAACTTCACAGAAAGTTTGCAAGGTAGTTCAAGAGGTTGTGCAGTGAACTTTCCATTATGGAGTTGTTAAATTTTTTTCCCACATTTTCCCATTTTATATTCCCATCTATATATTAAGAACACAGGTAAAATAGCTACGGACGTAAACATGGCCATCCGTATTATGTCCGTATTCAACCGTAACACGTCCATCATACAGATTGTTAAATTTCGTCTTTTTACGGTCTTTTAATACATAGCACAGTATAACCACTGTATGAAACAAAAATATAATATACACATAGTATTTAAATTTCTGTAATTCTTTCTCCCTTTACGCAAAGAGGGAGCCATAAAATATGTTTTAGTTGTGTTTCTTACTGCTCTGGTTGTTCTACTACAACCTTACCCGGGTGAATAATGTTTCATCATTTGACCATAGTTTGTAATATTTGATGTGAAGGTATATTACTACAAGACAGTGCTGTACATATCACCATGATCTTCATCTACCTTTGACCTTAATGTAAAAATAATTGATTTTTTTTACATTATCTGTCCGTACTACGTGACATAACTTTCCAATCCTATATTCTTGCATGAAAAGACCTTTTCAGTGTAACTAAGGGTTTACCCTCTTTCCCGCAGGTAATACAACGTGAAATATTTTAAAATGATTCATATACCCACCCATAAACAGTATATATTCTGTCACACTGTTTGTCTGTCCGTCAACACTACTATGTCCATCGTACAATTAATACCGGTCAAGATTGTCTTTACAGATTTTTAAAATCTGTAAGCACAGCGTTAATATCTATTAAAGGAAAGAACCTTATTGTTTTCGAAATTTAGAGTATATTTGTGATAAAAAGTTAGTTTTTGATGAAAAAATCTTTCAGAAGCATTTTCTTGTGCTAGAATTTCATTTAAAAAAGTTGATATATAGATTTCATATGCTATTCAAAATTGTTTCCCAATGTCAAAGTTATTTTTTTTATCCATTGAAGGGGGTGACATTTAATTAAATATACAATATTAGTTACAATAAATCAAAATTTACAACGCAAAATATTTCTTTGTTAATTGGTAGGTAAAAGTACTATAAAACTTAATTTTTGATGTTCGGACTCAGGCCTTGGTTTTTTTTCCTTCAATACAGGATAAAATATTTTGCCCCCATAACACCCATTTTCTTTTCATATAAGACTTCAATAGCTCACAAAAGATCAAGTACCAAAATTTAAGTAGCTTCTATATTTCTTTTCTTTCGATTTGAGACCCAAATAATACCAATGCAAATATAAGGTAATCGTCCGAGTCAGCCATTTCCCGCTATCTTTTAAAACTTAAATATCTCGAAAAGGAGCTCCATTACCTATCAATATTTTTTGCTTATTTTGTTTCATAACCAGAGGCGGATTTAGAGGGTTTTTCAGGGGCCCGGGCCCCCCCTTTTTTGGGAAAAATGTGGTTGATTATATAGGGAATCACTGAAGCATGACTGGAGCGGGCCCCTCTTAAGCAGTCAGTGGGTCCCCACTTATGAAAAATTCTGGATCCACCACTGATAACTAATGTTCTTCTGACTTATAATATCAATTTTAAATTCTAGATTTTTTTTAATTTCACCTAAGTACATCCTTAAGTTTAGGACGTATTTCATAACGTCCGTAGCGGCTACTTTACCTGTGTACTTTATGATTTCAGTACTCATTGTACTGCCAGTCAGTGAATCCATTGTTTAATAAATATTCTGTCGCGGCAACACGGCCATTTGAGTATACCTGGGACTATTATAACACTTAGTATAATAGTCCAAGAGTTTATGGTCCAATGAATTTGTAATCTGAGACTACTATAACACATGTGTTATAGTAGTCTCAGTTGTAATGTAGCAACAAAACGAGCTTGTTTGACCCATATTTGTCAACTTCTTTTATTGAAATTATGTAATAAGTAGGCTAATACATTGTATATCTCCTTGTAATTCTTTCAAAATTCGCAATGTTTCTGTTTTTCTTCTTCTTCAGTTTCAGAAAACCATCAACATACTGATGTTTACTTTCCGGCGCATACCTGGTAAAATTTTTTCAAATTTGTGTATTTATAAATGTAGTTAAACATAGATTGTCAATTTTTTTGTATTCCATATTTTTGTATATTTGTTATATTATTATTCATTTTTACAATTTTTCTTTGTTTTTAGATTTTTCGTTTTTATGTAGTTTTTCTAATATTTCATTTTTTATTTTTATTTTTAATTTAAGATAAAAACATGATTAAAGTCACATATAGCTCATCTTTACCTGTATAATCCTAACAAAATACACGAGTTAAAATTTGTTTGTGAAAATGTTTTGGACATCCCAAGGCCAAATGAAAAATTTCTGAAGAAACCGACGTAACTATCTCCGTGCTTATTCTAGATGATTTATTTTCGAGTAGTCAAGCAAAATCTTAGCTGCAAAATATTGTACCCATTTTAACATCTATACATAAATTGATGACGTTTTTCACGTCAATAAAGGGTTTGTCTGGCCTGGCTGAGAGCATCCTCGCATTCTTTGAATAGTTCCTCTATTTTAGCAGCTGGAACCAAGGTAAAATCTTTCAAACGATTTTTATGCTGCGAGAGTAATTTAATGATCTGTTATATTTGTTAAACATGGAAGCATACTCTCTGTAATTGTATGCTCCAAAATTACAATTTGTAATTTTGGAGCATACAATTACAGAGAGATTATGATGCACAAAGGTGTTCACGATTTCAGTATTTATTAATTATTATGCGTTTTATCGGCACAGCTGTAGCTTTTATGATGCTTGTGTTAATTAAACAAAACCAATTCAGATCCAATGCACATATCAGAAAACAACAGGTCTGTTTAGAAGGCTATTGCTCTGGCAGCTAAGTTTACCCCATAAATTCCAATAATTTGTTATCTACTGAAGTGCAAAAATGTACTATATGAGGCAGGAATGTAGGAAATAAGACGAAAAGCCAAAAACAAAAGTCACAGGAAATCGTCACAATAGTGTATAATAATGCCAGAGTACAGAGATGTTATAATAAACACCGGTATGGGTTATTACAATTTGCAGGTTCATGTATAATCTTAACATTTATATATATACAAAAAACTTAACGGGACAAAGGTATCATTGATACATGTATGCTAATTCTGACCTCTGGACTATGCTGTCATGTGATAATTTTACAGAAACGCTTAACTGTGACATAAACTGCAATATCAAATAATGATGAAGTTCTAAAAAAAGTATTTAGAAATACAAATAATTAATTAAATCATGTATAAAATATAACCACAAATTCCAAAGGGAAAATCTATTATATTTTTATATTTTGTCTGTGATTTCATACTTCGTGGTATGGAACTTGACTGAACTAAATCATGAAACTGGCGTCAATGTAAACTATACACATGTTTTTTTGAAAAATCATTTTAATTACCATTTCGATAAACATGATAAAACCAGCACAATGTTAAAGAATAAAGGTTAAGCTTTTGAATTGTTTTTCATTTACATGTCTAGTTCAAGTATTTATTTAACATTTACTAGAATATAGCGTGTGGGTGTATTTTTTTACTACTTAAAATTTTCAGCATGTTTCGAAAGAAAATCATTTACAATATACCAATATATAACATTTAACATTCGTAATTTACACATGTAATTGTAGCAAAATATTCCTTCTTTAAAATGATATCTGTTTTTGACTCGTTGTTCTTTTCTACTTTTCAACATTTTGAAAATTTGATAGTACTACACTGCCATATTGAAAGACACCATGTGGACACGTTTTGACAGAATAATGAAATGCCAAACTGAAATTTTGGAAAATCATAGAAAATTTAGAAATTATAACAGAAACACAAAAAAGAGTCTAAGTTCTAGAATAAGGTTTCAGCTTCATAATGATATTAACTATGGTTGTTTGCCTTTCGTGGTGGCATCTTCGCTAGCCAAAGGTTACGATCCACTTCCATCCTCTCCACCCTTGGCAGATTAAGCCAACATTTGTGATAACAATGTTGCGCCATCTATCGGTAGATTAAAGTCACGCCCATTCCTAATACATCATTCTTGACCAATGGTAGCACTTGAACTCTTCAATTTGGAGGTAAAAACACGGTAGCGTCTAGATTCTACACATTTGGTAAAGCAGGAAACGAAAATATACGTTGACATTAATGCATTTGTGCAAGAAACATACATAGGAACTTCTATTAGTTGAATAAAAACATTCAAATTGTCACTTAATATAGTCGTATGTTTAGGGATGTAAAGACTTGTTGCACAATAAGCACGTGGCAATTGTTTACATACAATTTCTACATTTACACGTGATCATGTTATAGGCGCTTTTTGATTGGATGCAGTGAGTTTTGACTGCAACCAATGAAAATCATTACCTTGTGTCTCAGAAATTCTATCTCAATCCACTAAGGGTGGAGAGGAGGGAAGTGGATCATAACCCTTAGCTAGCGAAGATGTCATGGTGGTAGATCCTTTAAAAAAAATCAAAACCCTGTTTTTTTATACGACTGCAAAAAAAAATTTGTGATCGTATGTTGGTATGACGTTGGCATCGTCGTCGTCGTCCGAAGACACATTGGTTAGCACAATAACTTTAGTTTAAGTGAATGGATCTCTATGAAATTTTACCATAAGGTTCAATACCACAAAAGGAAGGTTGGGATTGATTTTGGGGGTTATGGTACCAACAGTTAAGCTAAAAGGGGCCAAAAATAAGCATTTTTGTAACTTCAAGACAATAACTTGTGTTTAAGTGTATGGATCTCTCTGAAATTATACCGCAAGTTTCCATACCACAAAGGGATGGTTAGGATAGGCTTTGGGATGGGTTATGGCTCAAACCGTTTAGGAATTAGGGGCAAAAAAGGGGGAAAAAAAGGGTTTCCTGGTTAATGGACAATTTAAAAGCTGTGTAAGGGAGGTAATCCAAAAACAAAATTGTACAATGTTGTACGATGTTGGATTACCTCCCTTACACTGCTTTTAAATTGTCCATTAACCATTAGCAAAAAAAGGGGGGGAGTAAAAAAAAAATTTTTTTTTGGGGGGGGGGGGGTATGAATACGCAACAGCATAGTGTATTTCACAAAAGCAAAAAAAAAGGGGGGGGGGTAAATATTTTTTTTTTGGGGGGGGGGGGGGGGGGATCAATTGCAACAGCTTAGTGTATTGCACAAAAGCAAAAAATTGAATGTAAATTCAAATCATATAACCAATTCTAAGTTCTTTGACAGTTATGCGGTGTCAGAAACCTATTATGTGTCAAATATTTAATTGCAATCCAAATTCAGACCTGTATCAAGCACGAATATTGTGTCCATTTTCGCCCCAACTGTTCAGGGTTGGACCTCTGTGGTTGTATCCAGCTGCGCTCAGCGAAGCATTTTATTTGTTTTGTAATCCGGATGAAACTCGCAAATTTGACAAACAAGGTCTATTTCAATATGACTTTTTATTAAAAGTTGATGGCAAACATAGGTCGAAAAGGCATTAAAATGATATCTAACATGCCTAAGGGGTTCCATTTTACACAGAAGAGTAGTTTCTACTTGTCTTGGTTTTTATCCCCAATTATATTTTCTCAAGGAAGATGACCCTGTTAAGTTAGATGACCTTTAAATATAACAGGAAATGGACCTACGTTATGATTCTGTATATTATTTATCATACTTCCGACAGAAACAGACATGAATTATCACACCGGGGGAGTTCCGATTGATCTCGAGCCATGTTTCCATTCCTTTTAAATATACAATTCCTTGGAGTTCATAAAAACGTTAATGGATATGTAACAGTTTTGGACCAACCCCTCAAAATGAGGGATAACCCCTTAAAGTAATGACTACTGTAACAAAAGAGGGACGAAAGATACCAGAGGGACAGTCAAACTCATAGATCGAAAACAAACTGACAAAGGCCATGGCCAAAAATAAAAAGACAAACAGACAAATAATAGTACAGATGACACAACATAGAAAACTAAAGACTAAGCAACTTAACCCCACCAAAAACTGGGGGTGATCTCAGGTGCTCCGGAAGGGTAAGCAGATCCTGCTCCACATGTGGCACCCGTCGTGTTGCTTATGTTATTACAAATCCGGTAAATAGTATAATTTGGTAAGTCACATTCGTGAGAAGGGAAGGGTATTGTAGTTACGACATAAGGAACAATGTATCCCTTTTATGAGTGGTAAATTTCAAGTGATAAACATTTTTTTTTTTAAACAACTTTTAAGTACAAAAGGGCAAATATTTACATATTTGCAGAAACTTTTCCCAAAGAACAATATGTTTATTATCTGGTATTATATCTGCGGAACATGTCCATGAATTTTGGAAGATTCATGGACTTCAATCTTCTTTATTACTGAAAAGAAGAGGACCCCTCTTTTAGAAAAATTATTCCAAATATAATAAATTTTTCCCCTTTTAAGTTAAAAAGGCTAAGTTTTTCTTTTTTCTTTTCCACAACAGCAAAATCTTGTCTGAGGGACAGTCCCTCGTTTAAGGGCTATCCCTAATTTGGGGGGTTGTTCCCAACCTGATGTAATAGTATTTCAATTATTTTCTCTTTTTTAAAAGTTATACATGTTATATGGCACTTTTATTGTTAAACATGGTAAATAAAAGAAATTAAATTTTATAACAAATACCAGACTTAAAAAGCTTGACCATGTTTATAGGAAATGTAAAATTGAAGCCAATTATTTAGATTAATAATTAACCATCGATATCTGTCATTTCTATTGAATTGTTGTAAAATCTTTGACATTCAAATGTACACTTTTTTTTTTATAGTCTCTGGAAAGTTTATCATGTTTATTCAACTGCAATAAATGAAAACAGTAAAATACCATATACTGTATTCTAACTTTATTAGATCATGACATTGAGAGAAAATGAATGGTTTCAATGAAAGTTTGTATGAAATACTTACATATTATATGTACTTGTATGATTCTTAAAGGGGCATTAGCTACGATCTAGACAAAATACAACATGTATTAAACTATGCTATATTTGATTCAAACATTTCTACAAGCAGAACTGTGAAATAATAATATTTGAATTATTTCACTATTACATGTATTAGCAGTCATCAGTTTGATTCAATTTTGTCAAAATAAAATTAAAAAAAACATTGTTAATGCAGGGCTCACTTTTCTAGTGGTCAAAAGCAATATCCACTCACCCAGATGTTCACAACAGACGCATTGGCAATATTTCATATATAACATACAAGTGAAGAAATTTAAAGATGATACAAATGTATAATATTTATTTCTTTAGAAACAAGGTGAATGCATTGATTTTACAGATTGATTGTATGTTATTTCAAAGAGGTAACTTTTATGAATTTTTTTCTCTCATTCCGGTTCTTGTTACTCATGTTACTAGAGAGTGTACATTTTTGTACACTAAAATATTCTGATTTTCGGCATAATAAATTTGCAGCTTCATTAGAATGTTATGAAAATTGCCTTTAGTTAATTTTACATCCATTTATTGCATTTTAACAATGTAACAGTCATATATTCCTTTCCAAATCCATGAAATCGCTTGCCAAACATTGTTTAATTTTGATCACCCACCACCATATGACCATGAGATATTTATACTAACCACAGATTGGAGGCTGACCAACTATGACCAGAATCTGTTTACTTATGATAATAACTACAGATGCACAAATATTATGGTACAGCTGACAGAAGAATAATGATCCCTAAAATGAAAAATATGCGTTCCATGTGCATTAACAAACATTGAGTTAGATCTCCTTTGTTAAATGTATATATTTCCATGTACATGTAAATGCATTGTTTCAATTTATTGATGAAAGTTGCTTAAATTTGTATATTGTAAATTCAGAAATTATTGCATGCATATATTATTCATGTGTGTTATTGTGAATTTTTAAGAAGGGACAAAAATGCAAGATTAATTATTGTGATTTCAGAAAAACATGTATTTTAGCATGTTAAGATACGACACATATATATATATATATATATATATATGAATCAGTTACATGTATCAGAATGCGAGTTCTTATTATTGGGATACTCACCCAGTCGCATTATTCACATTAATAAAAACCTTGCAATAATTTCTTGATTTACAGTATCGAAGCTATGAATTTTATAATCAGAACAATTTTCCTCATTGAATTTTAATTGAAAAATGATAATCTCTTTTCCTTGTTGATTTAAAAAAAAGAAAGTGGTAGATATTTAGTTGGTAGTTTCTGATAAGTGGGAAAAATATAATCATGATAATTATGAAAAATAACTAAATATAAGACATACACTGAGACAACTGCTACATTACTTGTATTCTCAGGTATGATTTGAACAATATAAAAAGAATTAGATAGATAGGATACATCATGGCCCTTTATCATGTTTATATTATAGTAAAAACCAAACATTGTACACTGTAGAGCCGCGAGCAAACAAGCACTTCTGTTTTAATTCTCACCACTTCTCCCTAACTACATGTATGTTTCTGAAGTAGTGTGAGCCCTGTAACATATTATTGGCTTATAAGTCAATAGTTCATCTCATTTGAATCTGTATTCATGTAACCTTCAATTTATCCCTTAGCTTGAGAAGGGTTATGCATGTTCAGTTATTAAAAAGAAAAGAATGTCAACATTGGAAAGCAAAACTAGCAAAACTTGCAAGATCCATTACGTTTACTGATTCTGCACCAAAAAACTCATTCTTATATCCATGATAATTGATATCCCATGAATATAATATTGAATCCTCAGTCATGACAGTTACAGTACCTGAATCATATGAATAAACATGATAAATGTTTATTTTAGATGGCTTCAGCTGGAGACGACAAAGATCTGAAAAGATGTCGTAGGTTGTTGAATTACTACACAGAAGGCAGTGTGTACAAGGTATTGGGTCGTACTTACAGTAAAGAAAACACTGCATGTCTCGTTCATATGCTAGAAGAAAAACGTGGCAAGGAAATACTAGCAGAAGTAGAAAAATATAACGACAATTGTACCCCTTTACAGAAAGACATGCTTCTTTTCACTGTAGCACTGTGTATGAAGTCAAAGGACATTGAATTAAAACAGCATGCTAACAAAACTTTCTTATTACTTTGTAAAACTGCCAAGGAACTATTCACATTTATACAATTTCATAAAAAATTGTCAGGTGATACAAATTCACGAGGATATGGACGTTCATTACGACGTACATTGAATGAATGGTATAACAGACAAGATCCCATGGACCTTGCTATTTTAGTTATGAAGGAATCCGCATGTGGTGGATGGTCACACTCAAATGTTCTTCGCTTAGCACATATCAAGGGAAAATCTGAAGGTAAGGATGTACATGTAGTTACTAAGTTAGTGTCATGTTGCCAGGCTTACTTTAACAACGTCACAGGTTTTTGGTGCATAATTGTTTCATTGGCAATCATTCCACATCTCCTTTATATCTTTATGTCAAGAGCAAATACAATAAATGAAGCCAAAAAAACAAAAGCAAAACAGAAAGACCATAGATAAATAATAAAAAAGGATATAACCCTGTCCCATGGTGTTGTGTTCCAGGGGTTGTCACAACCATTGTGTCTGGATAAATATTGGAGATCTAGCATGATTTTCCCAAGGTTAACAAGACTGTTAGCATTGTTATTTTACAAAAATAAGATTTTAATTAATTGAAAGTGTCTGTTCTAATCCTACATTCTTTTAATTATATAAGAACCCCATCTTGTTTAATTGTGTTTTAATTTAACTCATTAAATTTAATGCATTAATAAATTGAAGACCCAGCAAGTTGTTTACAAAGTGTAATTCATCATGTTCATGATTGATTAAACATGTTCAAAAGATTTTTTTATCACTTTGGTACATATACATGTATCTTCTCCCCATTTTTGACATCATACATTTGTGGTACATTTTTTTTTTTGGAATATTTAATGCATAATTATTTACAAATGTATACATGTGCAAATGTAACATGTTGTTTGAAATCATACATGTAGTTTATTCTTCTAAAATTAGAAAAGCCAGAAATTCTTTATTTTCCTGTTAAATAAATCAATTTGACTCTCTGTTTATAACATTTCTATGTAGTGTAATCTAAATTCCTTTGCTTTATGAAAACAAAAATAAATCATAAAAAAGCATGTTTTGTTTGAAAATAATGAATTGTAATGAACTGAAAGTTGATAATTAACCAAGTTTCAAAGTGAGGTAATTTAGGCGGTATTTCTGTAACAGATGTGATCAGCATACACCAAACAATTTAACATCCCATTGAAAGCCTCTTGTGTAATCATAGGGATAATAAACTGTACTGAACACATGCATGTGCTTGTCATTCAATTATGGGGCTCCATAGGGTAGTGATAATATACTGTTTTAGTATAGCTAATCATTTCACTTGGTTTATGTAATTGATATAGGATGTTTTTAAACAACAAACATAACGTAATAATAATGAACATTAGGACAATACAAACCAGAAATATATATATTAAAGTGCAAATCTCAGCCTAAGAATCGGGTATGAAAACATGACAAACAAAAACCCACTCAAGTTCACATAAATTTATGTTTAAAATGTATAATGGTGGACGAATATAACATTCTGTTTCCTTTTCCTGTTCTGGTATTTCAAGATATATAAATTGGTTGAATTGCACTAGAAATTATCAATTAAGGGGAGCTAACTCCGTAATTTGCTATCATTCTAACTAAAAGTTATCTAGAGATTTCTCGATTTACCAGACACTCAGAAACAAAAAACCTACCATTTCTAACTTAGGATGAGGGTAACTTCAAAATAGGATGGTTAGGTCTGCGGGTTTTTTTTGTCATGTTATGAAATTCTTCTAAATTGCCTGAGTCTTACAAAGACTGGCTAGTTTCATCATCCCAAATTGTTAATCATTGACTCCAACAGGGGCCTTGGTCATAAAACTTTAATAATTTGTCCTCCTGTATTTTGATTGATTAATTTCTGAGTCTGAGTACAATAATCGTGCTTGAATTTTTTATGACCATGAGGCCAGGTATTGAACCATAAATTTTTTTATTTTGAATACGATTCCTGAGAAAATAGCAAATGATATGGGCTCTGCTTAGAATCCATACAATGCTTAACATTTTTTTCCAAATAACTCTTTGGGAAAAATATAAGCCATCAAAATATTTTCAACGGAAATCTTTGACTTTTGTGAATTTAAAAACCAATAAAGTAACCATGCAACAGGGTCAGATGAAATCCAGGGCATTGGTATGTACATGTATGTATTATTTCATTTTGCAGTAGGAGGTTTTATAACAAAATGATCAAAAAGACAAAAGACATTTTTTTTCTTGACATTACATCTCCCTTTCATTATACATTAGACCTACAAATAAATGTATCATCAGTTCTCTGGCATAATTATGATACTGTGTTTTTTTAAAAGTTACAATGCATCCCCATTGTATAATTACTCATAACTTTGCTAGCAGTATCTTTACATCATTTTTCTTCTTCTTCAGGAACAGCCATAATATTAACATACTTAGTTAAAGGAATAGAAGAGTTAAAGAAATTAGGCGAACAACCTGAGAATGTTCAGAAAGTTGTAGACTACCTCAAAACCATCCATTCTGTACGTACCTCGACTGACGAGCACCAAGTGGCCAGACTCATCGAACAACATCACTTAGGAAAACAACAAGTGCTTCCTGCTCTTCTTAACTCAAAAGAGGTAAAAAGTTAAATTTAACTCTCAGTTGAATAAGACATTCATAATAATTTATAACAGTATTTTACCATGTTTACTGCACCTAATTAATATACATGTTGTAAGTGCATTTCAACAATTGATATCTCTACAGTGATCTTTTAGGCCAAAATATTTAAAAATCCAAAACTTATACATACATTGAAGAGCTGATCAAATCAAAACGGATCCAAAGTATAGCCAAATCAGAACAAGGAATCAGAGCTTTGCATGAAGTAAATGTAATCCTTGATGTAAGATAGTTTCCAAAATTTTAGAACCGTAAATTTCAATGAACAACATTGCCCATTGTAACCAATAAAACTACCGGTATAGATTGTTTGATTGTTGATTGTAATGTCCAGTGGCAAGTATTTCATGCATGTTCAGGATGAGAACAAGTTAACAATAAATACAATAGGTAGGTCCTGTAATAGAGGCCTTCCAGGATGAAGGTCGGGAAAATTTGAACTCCCATTCGAAAATGAGGGTATCAAAAATGTAGAATTATATACACTGCTATTCAGACATGTCAGGTTGATTTTTGTCGAGCCTTCGACTTTAGTCGAAAAAGCGAGACATAGCGATCCTACATTCCGTCGGTGGCGGAGGCCGCGGCGGCGTCCCACAAATATTCACTCTAGCTGTGGTTAAAGTTTTTGAAATTTCAGTAACTTTCTTAAACTATCCTGGATTTCTACCAAACTTGGACAGAAGCTTGTTTATGATCATAAGATAGTATCCAGAAGTAAATTTTGTAAAAATAAAATTCCATTTTTTCCGTATTTTACTTATAAATGGACTTAGTTTTTCTGCCGGGAAATATTACATTCACTCTGTGGTTAAAGTTTTTAAAATTTTAATAACTTTCTTAAACTATCCTGGGTTTCTACCAAACTTGGATAGAAGCTTGTTTATGACCATAAGATAGTATCCAGAAGTAAATTTTGTAAAAAAAAAAAAATCCATTTTTTCCTTATTTTACTTTTAAATGGACTTAGATTTTCTGCCAGGAAACAACACATTCACTCTGTGGTTAAAGTTTTTAAAATTTTAATTACTTTCTTATACTATTTTGGATTTGTACCAAACTTGGACAGAAGCTTGTTTATGATCAAAAGCTAGAATCTAGAAGTAAATTTTGTAAAAATAAAATTCCATTTTTTCCGTATTTTACTTTTAAATGGACTTAGATTTTCTGCCAGGAAACAACACATTCACTCTGTGGTTAAAGTTTTTAAAATTTTAATAACTTTCTTATACTATTTTGGATTTGTACCAAACTTGGACAGAAGCTTGTTTATGATTTAATGCTAGTATCTAGAAGGAAATTTTGTTTTCTTCCAGTTAACATTACATTCAGTCTGCAGTTAAAGTTTTTAAACATTTATTAGATTCATAAACTATCCTGGATTTTTACCAAACTTGGACAGAAGCTTCTTACAATCAAAAGATAGTATCAAGAGGAATATTTTTATTGATTTACTTCCTCACTTTTGTTGAGCCTGCGATTAACAGAAAAAGTAGGCGAGACACTGGGTTCCGCGGAACCCTTACGAATTTTGTATTTAATACTTGTAAACGTTCCAAATAAAACATTTGAAATACCCAAGAAATGTCAAACTGGGAAAAAGTGGTGTTACATACAATATTTGATTGGGCATTTTGGACATGTTAAAATAAGAATTTACTTGTAATTTTCATTAGAAACTTTTTATGATGTATATATGTGAAACACTCAATAAGTGAATCTGCTTGGTGACAAAGTTACAGAAACTGTAAAGTACTAAAGCTGTAGAGCACAGTATATATGTATGAGACAGAAACTGTAAAGTACTAAAGCTGTAGAGCACAGTATATATGTATGAGACAGAAACTGTAAAGTACTAAAGCTGTAGAGCACAGTATATATGTATGAGACAGAAACTGTAAAGTACTAAAGCTGTAGAGCACAGTATATATGTATGAGAGTCTGAATGGGGTTTACAGAATAGAGAATAGTTGGTCAAATCTACAGAAAAATTGACCAAAAAATGAAAAATAATGTCATTAATCAGGTGCTTAGATGTTATAAAGATCATAGAATAGAGAATAATGGGGAAATATATATAGAATAGATAAAAATTACATTAAAAAAAATTACAGAAATGAAGGACCCCCCCCCCCCCCCCCCAGACCCTCATGTATAAAGTATTCGAAATATTTATTTGAAGATTTGGGGAGCTTTGGTATCTGAGATGACAGCTGGAGAAGTTTTAGAGAACTTTAACAAACTTGCCAGTGTTGGGTTCCTAGAGATTGCTCATGATGGCAGTAAGAAAATTGTAGAAATGTTACGCAGCGAGGAAGTCCTCCAGAAGTCCAAGTAAGTTAGAATATAAGGTTAAAGAATCACTTGATACTCTAAAAATGAAAAAAAGACATAACTGAAACTAATGCTCTATGGATAATCATAATAAATTTATAAAAGAATAGAGATAGTCAATTTATTACAAGGTTCTCACATTTTTTTCCGTCTGGACTCACAATATCAGAATCCTGTGCATTCGTGGGATGCATCTTGAGGGGTTTGCCATGTAAACACTTAAGGGCAAGGATGTATACAACAATGGGTCATAATATGGCCTTCAACAATGAGAAAAACCCATACTGTATGTGTTTGGAGTGGGGTGTAGGGGGGAATAAAAAGATTTGGTTGTTTGTATTTATAAATATATGCTATATCATTCTGACTAATCAAGTGTCATAAAAGATCACTCTATTCGAGGTTGTCCACTTAGCCAAATAAGACACTTTAAATCGAAAATATTTGACATGTTTTAGTTACAGTACAATGGACTCATCCTTTCAAAAAAGGAAAGTCCCTAATCAAATGGCAAAATCAAAAGCTCAAACACATCAAACGAATGGATAACAACTGTCATATTCCTGACTTGGTTCAGGCTTTTTCTTATGTAGAAAATATATCATGGTGAGAACCCTGTGTATTAGACCTGTAAATCCAAGGAATCAAGTTTTCTTATAAAAATAAGGAGATGTGGTATGATTGCCAATGTCCACCCATGTTCAAATGAAGTGGATGTAAGCAATTATAGGCAACCATACAGCCTTTAACAATGAGAAAAACCCATACCGTATAGTTAGTTGTCTAACTTGCATACTGTAAATTTAGAAATTATTGCAAGATTTTTATAAATGCCAATAATGCGACATGGCGAGCAGTGTTCTCCCCAGAATTTTCAAATAGCACCATGGAAATTAACATAGCACTGGTTTTTAAAAAAATATAGCACCATGGCCCCTATACATTCTATTATAAAATCATCCAAGATAGCACCAGGGTACCACAGTGCTTTAAGGCCCTGGGGAGAACACTGGGCAAGTATTGCAATAATCAGAACTTGCATTCTGATATATGATTCATTTATCTGTATTCAGATTGTCCTGAAATTGCAATAATTAATCTCGCATTTTTGTCCATTTTTCAGAAATGGCAATAATGAATGCACCCAATAATTTCTGAATTTGCAGTATATGAATGATTAGGGTCCAGCTAATGTATGTTTGTTGGACCTAGTGTCTAGTAATAGTTTTAACTGAAAATTACACTCACTTTTGTTTGTAATGATAAAGTTGGGTTTTGTGTACCAATACTGTTAATTACGTTGTAACCAATATTAAATGAAAATAAACTAACACGATATATGAATATTTTAAAAGTTAATTTACATTTTAAAAATTCATTTGTCATATTAAACTACATGTTAAAGTTCAACTACTGTGTATTATTTTTATTCCTACAGAGCACCTACAGAAATAGTTGTTTAAGTTGTTTACTATTTCCTATGAATATATATTTCATTAAATTCAATATTCTGGGTTAAAAGTTTGATCCTAAGTTTCATAAATGAAGTATTTGCGCATCAACTTCTTATTAAAGTGTATTAAGTAATCAGGAATGTGGAGGCACTCAAGGGATTTTGATTTATCAAATATGAAAATTTATTTTATTATCATTAGAGAAACAGAATTCAGTTGTAAACTTCTATGTGATTTGGTCTCTGGTGGAAAGTTGTCTCATTGGCAATCATACCACATCTTCTTATTTTTATCTTACATAGTTACTCGTGGATTATTGGATTTATCGAATCTCTATAGTTTTAAAATTATTGAATTTAAAGTATTGCTGGGGTTTGGACTTTAAAATTCGATAATTTAACTATTTTGATTCGATAAAGTCCAATAATGCACTGATATCAATGTAAGAATCTTAATGTGTCTAAACTTAAAATTTTAATCAACAGCTGATGTATATTTGATAGTCCATTTTCTAAGATCCCTGAATTTTTATAGATATTAGAAAATTTTTTTTTTAATATCCTGCTGACTTTCACTCTACCTATTGGTGTGGTATTTCTGTGTTTCACAATAGCTAAATTTTGCTTTTACCTATTTACAAACATAATGTTGGGAGTGAAAAAGCTTCCTTTGAACTTTTAGAAACCAGATTCGAATTTTAAGATTTTAAAGATATTTCTTTCCTCTCTGAATGATTTGCAGAAGAAGATATTTAAAAATTACTTCTGGTAGACATAAATATATATGAAGATGAGGCATCTTAAAGCTTAAGTCTTTATTGCAGCATACAACCAATAGATGTGGTAATGGCCTTATCAGCATATGAACATGGTAAAGCAGGGAAGGTGACCTGGATGAGGAACGAGGCAGTCATTGATGCACTCAACTTTGCCCTTGAATCCACCATGAAGGTTAATGAATCTAACGTATGTAGTAGTTGATAAACCATGTTAAGGGTTGAGGGTTTTTGGGGTAGATATTGCATTCATGCAATCAAAAACCTGATAGGGACTTGCTTGAAATCTTATTACTACTTTTGGAGAACAAAATCATAGTGCATTGAGGTGATTTTTCTTTACAATTTCAAGCAATTTATCAGTGAAATGTATACTCAGATATATTCAAGTAATTAAATAATGCTATGTGTATAATTATTCTTTCAAGAAAACTATTTTAATCAAAATTACATCTACATGTATTTCTTCTAAAATTTATTTAAAGCTAATTTATAAAGATTGGAGTTCATGATCTCCCTTTGTTCATAAATTGTATTGGAATTATGAACAAAGGAAGATTTCTCCAATTAAAAATATGCCTCTCATTGATAGCATTGTGCAATGTTTTGGTGAATGCAACCTTTACCTTTCAATGCTCACAAGTACTTCGGTTTTCTTTTACTTTTTGACTTATTATCAGAATGCTCTTGTTGTTTTTACAAGTATGAATATAGATTCTACCATTACATCAAGCGTAATACCATATTTCTCCACTTGAGACCGTTAAATTTTCAAATTGAAGAAGGGAGGCTTGCCGAGCATTTAAATATTCAAAATTTAACTGTGGAGAGTTGAGAAATATTGTATTGCAGGAGATTTGGTAGTAGTATAATCAGTTTTTTTAATGACTTTTAGACGATATGCAGACAAAATTAATCCTTCTTTTCCGATGATCTGCAAAAAGATGTGTTCTTTCTATGTTACGTCATCAGGCATGGTTACCTTTTTATACGACCGAAAAAAATTTTGTGGTCGTATATCATTGTATATTGATATCACGTCGTCAGCGTCGTGCAAAGACATTTGGTTCCTGGACAATAACTTTAGTTTAAGTGTATGGATCTCTATGAAATTTAATCAAAAGGTTCAATACCACAAAAGGAAGGTTGAGATTGTTTATGGGAGTGATGGTCCCAACCGTTTAGGAATTAGGGGCCAAAAAGGGGCCAAAACAAGCATGTTTCTAGTTTCAGGACAATAACATGTGTATTAGTATTTTGATTGCTCTCAAATTGTACCACAAGGTTCAATTCCACAAGTAACAGGTTAGGATTCATTTTGGGGGTAATTGACCAAACCGTTCAGGAATTAGGGGCCAAAAAGGGTCTAAAACAAGAATTTTTCTAGTTTTCAGACAATAACTTGTGTTTAAGTGTATGGATGTCTCTTAATTTGTACCACATTTTACAAAAAGAAAATTTCAAAATAAAATTTTTTGGAGGGGAGTGTAAATTTTTTTTTTTTTGTATTAGGGGGGGGGGGGGCAATTTTTTTTTCACAAAAGAAATTACTCTTCAAATAGGGGGTAAACAATTTTTTTAGGGGGGGTAAAAAAAATTTTTTTTTAGGGGGGTCAATTTTTTTTCCTCAAGAAATTGTCAATTTTCCAAAGAAAAAAATTGGGGGTCACAATTTAATTTTGCTAAATCTTTGTATATAGTCTGAAAACAGATTTACTAAGTATTGCGCTACAGCACAGTGTATTGCACAACAGCAAGAAATCTTCAATTGAATATAAATTCAAATCATACAACCAATTTCAAGTTCTTTGACACATTTATTCTGTGTCAGAAACCTATAATGTGTCAAATATTTAATTACAATCCAAATTCAGACCTGTATCAAGCTTGAATATTGTGTCCATTTTTGCCCCAACTGTTCAGAGTTGGACCTCTGCAGGTCGTATCCAGCTGCGCTCGGCGAAGCAATTAATTTCGTGATGTCACAATAGGAAATTCAGAGGAAAGCAAGAAAGTTTGAGGTCATAATTCAATTTTGACCCATGAACATGATGAAGAACTGAGAACAAATGAACCACATGTTGATTAAATAAGAATAATTCACAGGTCTGGAAAAGGATAAATTGGCTAAGAATTAGAGAAATAGATGTATGTACATTTTTGTATTTTCAATGTGCAATTATAGTTTATATATGAGTTGGGAGTATACACCAATGAGACAACAACCCATTGTCACAAAAAAAAAGACATCCAGAGCTGAAGATATGATCTTGAACAATAGGCTTTCAAAATGTCAACTTCTAAAGTTGCTGTTTTTAAAAAAATTTAAACGAAAAATTTTGCAAATTACACATGTATTTTTAAACTTTTTAACACCAGTAAAAATTTAAAAGTTAAAATAGTATTTTAATTTTTCAAAACTTTCTTTAAGAAAGTTACTTGTTTATTCTCCAAAACTTATAATTAAGACCTATGTCATTATTGACAGCACATGATTGTTTATTAATTTTGCTTCACCACAAGATAACAAATAAAGCAAGGTATTGTTATTTCAATATCATTTAGTGCTTGAATACATACATAGATTCTATCACTGCATCTAGTGTATTATGATATTTCTCCAATCAACACAGTTAAATTTTAAATATTTAAAATTTAACTGTTGAGAGTTGAGAAATATCGTAATACACAAGATATAGTGGTGGAATCGATTTAAAGGTGATATCTAAACAAGTTTATCCTTCCTCTTCAAAGATTTGAAGAAAGTTGTGTACTTTAATTTATATGTGACGTCATCAGGCATGGGCTTTTTTTTCATGATGTCGCAATAGGAAATTCAGAAGAAATCAAGAAAATTTGACTTCATAATTGAAATTTCAACCAATCATTTGCCAAGAACAAAGTTTTCTCTAGAGATGAGAAATATTTTTCTCACACCGATCGAGACATGTGAAAATAGCATGAACATTAGAGAAATTAACTTTTTCAAGCACTGCTATATTTATTATTGAAACTGTTTTTCAGAACGCCAAGTCTACAAACAAGCGTTACCTTATTGGAGTCCGAGTTGGATCAAACACGAAAAAATCCACTGTTCGGGGTACACAGTCACTTCCTTCCCTGGTTGCTGCTTCTGCTATTGCCATGGTTACTGCTAGGAAAGAAGACAAGGTCCAGCTAGTTTATTTCGCAGACAAGGCCACAGAGTTGACCTTGACTTCAGAATCATCCCTGAAAGAAATTACTGAAGAAATATCAAAACAGATTTTAGTTTCGGCAGCACTTCCTCCAGTAGGGACTGGTGTAAGTTACATATTGATATCATAAGTTTCTCCCTAGCAAGAATTTTTACAGTTTTATTAAGTCAAAGGTCAATATGCCATGAGAATAGATTGTTTGGAGACAATTTTGACTGTTTTCCTAAAATCATTTCAATTTACCAGCTTCAAAAATTATTGTAATATAAACATTAATATCTTATGGCATGTTCAAAATATATCCCACCCTTTCTACCTAGTAAAATTTCAAAACACAGAAGCTAATTTGATGTACCCTAAATCAAGGCTTCCAAAATTACTTTTAGCCAGCCGGACATTTTATATATTATCCCGATTTTAATCCCTTAAGACTAAATAAACAAAAGGCAATTATGGTATTCAGTTGCTGAGTTGGCCATCCCAATGATTGACATTAAAAAAAAACCGATATTAAACTTTCTTTGATTCAAATTCGAAGTTCTGACGTAAACTGTTAAATTGGTAGTGCATCATTCGAAGTGTGCAACATCAGCTTATTTATATCTGCCTTATACTCTTTATTTGTGCAAAATAACGTTGTCAAAAACTTTACATTCGTTAAAATCTTATACGGGATGTTATCTTGACAATGGTAAAACATGGACCAGAGACGGATACGTAAATTCCGTGTACGTTTGCAAAGCATGAATGAGTGTACGTAGCTCTTTCTACGTTATTTCTTCAAGAAAATAATCAAAATAAACGTGAGATAAAGGTATCAATGACAATTTAAGCATTTTTTGAAGAAATTAGGATGCATAATTAAATTTTACACCTGCGCACATGCGCACACGTGTACTAGTTTAAACAGAGACATGTCTCTGGTTCAAACAACGTGGTTATTATTCATTTTCACCTTTTTAATTTTTTCATCAAATCATATTTGTTAACGTATTTCTGATTATTTAAATCTTTTTGACTAAATTAATTAGATGCAAACCGCTGAAATGTAAGAAAATAACTTTGAATAGACCGATCAATGTCCGGTTCAAAATAGTTTACCTGTCACCTGAACAGGTAAATTTCAGCTGTTCGTCAACTAATTAGCCTTGATTAAAACGAGAAGGTATTAAAGTAGGGTTTGTTTTGATAGTACTTAATGATCATGTCACTTTCATGACCGGAAATGTGTGGCTGTTAAAGGCAACAGGTTGGGTCAAAAAGATCGCGAAATTATGTTAAAATGACCGTCTCTTAAGAAAGCCTTGAAAACTAAAAAGTAGATGACCGTTTCATGCTTTGCCCAGCCGGACTTTTACCGGACATTATACAAATGTCCGGAATATATGACCGTTTTGGAAGCCTTGCCCTAAATGCATTTTTTAATAGATTTATTTTATGTCAGTGATGCTAGAAACCAAATACTTGAAATTGAAGAATAAATCAATGTTCACATTCATTTCATGACATGTTCTTGTCCGGCAAATGGTTGAAACTTGGTGATCAGTCCATTCATCCTCATTCAAATTTGTTTCTGGTAAAAACTGAACACACAAGGTGATTGTGATAAAATCCTACATGTTGAATATGAGTAATTCCCTGAAAAGGAGTGATATGAGGTGAAAACACTCTAAATAATTCAATTACAATCCTGCCTTATACATAGCATATATGTAATAGCTATGAAATATACAAGGAGATATTTCAGAGTGAATAACTCATAATGAAAATTGACCACCAATTATGTGCCAGCTAAGGACAAAATGGCTGATATTGATAACTTTTATATTTTTAGAAAACCTATACTGCAATAAAGTAAATAATTGTATACATCTTACTTTAATATTTTTACAGGATACGCCAAAGCAACCATGTGACCTAACTGCACCAATCAGATGGGCAACTGAAAACAGCAAACAAATTGATGTATTTATCAATATAACAGATTCACTTGATAGAACAGGGGACATAACTCCATCAAAGGCACTCATGCAATACAGAAAGGAGATGAATATGCCAAAAGCCAAGTAATAAATAATTTTTAAAAATGTACATGTGAAATTTTGATTTGGTATCTTCTTACCATATAAAAATGTACTTCCTTAATTTAGTCTTACAATCAATCCTTTGTAATTGGCCAGGTTGGAGGAAGTCCAAAACTGGCTTTATAGTATGGTGATGTTGGGGAGGGATAGGGATGGGCAGGCAGGCTGAGAAAAGCAAATAACTTATTTGTGTAATCAACTCCTCCTACAGTTTTCAACCCAGATCCTTGAAACTTCACAGGAAAATTGCACATATTGAAATTGTGCACCTGCTAAAATGGAATGTTTTGAGGAATTTTTTCCTCATTTTTCCAGACTTGGGAACTTAGTAATTTTTCAGCAAAGTTTATGATTGGAGATACACACTTTGTGTATACACACTTTGTGTAATCAGCTCCTATAATTTTCAAGTGTGATCCCTGAAACTTCATATGTAGATTGTTAAAGTTGTGCACCTGCTATCGTGGAATTGTTTGAGGATTTCTTTCTCATTTTTCCAGACTTGGGAACTTAGTCATTTTTCAGAAAAAAATTATGAGAGAGGGTTCAAGTTTTCAACTTCTTTTACAGTTTTCAACAAAGATCCCTAAGACTTCATAGAAAGCTTTTACACATGCATAGTATAAATGTTTTTACTGTTCACTTAAGTTATTTTCTTTGAACAGTAGAATAGAAATAACACAGTACTGTATTTAAGGAGTAGCCAATATCAGTGGGGATTTGATGTATTTGGTAAATTGGCATTTATAAAAGAAAACCCAGATATTTTCAATGGTCACATCCCAAATTAACAGAAGCATCTTTTCAAATGCAGTACTTTTATGAATTATCATAGATATGACCATCAGCAACAATTAACTTTTACCTTTTTTTTACTTACATTTCAGGTTAGTGTCATGTGGACTTTGTAATGCCAACATGAAGACAGCTGACCCTAATGACCCCAGAATGATTGACATTGCTGGATTTGATGCAACAGTTCCTTCTGTCATTAACAAGTTTATATTGGATGAATGTTGACACCGTCCACTGTGTTAAAACAGCAAGGTCCAGCAAACTTGCCACATAATTCTAGTCCAAGAAGGATTTGTGGACAACATATAGCTTTTTTTGGCACAATTATAGTGCTTCCTAAGGTTGTCAGTTGCTTGCCTATTGTTTTTGTTTCAAGGCAGGAGGAACACATATAATTCCGGCAAAAGTTCTGTGATGAAAAATATAACCCGTCTCTTAGACCAAGTGAACTGTGAACTACACAAGGAATTTAAAACTTCAGTTGTTATTTCATATATTTCGAACATTTTTTGTTTATTTATGTTTTCAGAGTCCTTTTTTTTAAGAGGTGAAGTTCCAACATTTTTTGTGGAATTTATGACTGAGACAATTCCAAAGCAAATATTTTATTGATTAATGCAATGAACATATGATTTGTAAATTGGAAATATTTTATGCCTTTTTGATATTTGAATATTTTGTTTTTATTTATTTATATATCATATTTAACAATGTTGTAAGTGCAAAGGTCAAGATGTTAGCAATTTTTGTTTTTGTTATTTGTCAATTTTCTTTTGTTTTATATGGATTAGGTATTTAAGAAAGAAGTTTATGTTAAGAATACTTTATTTTTAAGAAATGCATGCATACAAAAAAAAAAAAAAAATTATATATAGCTAAAAAAAAACTCAACAGCTTCCAATTATGTTCATACTATATAAGTTTAAAAGCGTTGAAAAAAAAACCCAAATAAAATGACTAAAACGACGAAATAAATGTGAGCTATATTTTGCTATTATATTTTCTATAACTTGCCTTGGTGTTATGAAACTTAATTTGTTTCCTTTTCCCAGAAGCAATGCTTGGGTTTGCTTTTATTAAAAGTACAAAGTTAACTTGCTTTTGTAGTTTCATATTATTATCAGGATTGATCTGAGACCGTGTCATCAATCAGCCAACTTCCAATTCATGTCCATTCCAAAAATGGTCCAATAGTTAAATAGTTGCTGCCTCATTAATGTATACCAAACATCTGGTTTAACACAGAAGAGAAAACCCCCCAAAATATCATTTCAATGTGTTGTTTTTATCTTTATACATGTTTGTTAAGCTTGGGGTTTTTCAGGAAATCCATATGATTTGCAGAAAAATTATTTACATATTAATTCATCATATGTACTATTTATTCATTTGATTGAGGTCAACTGAATGTTATGCTCTGACAATAAAACAACCTTAAAAGGTAAAAAAAATAATAAGACAGCCTATTTATTGTACAGGCAAGAAAATAAAAATATAATGAAATAATATTAATATATAAATATATTATTTATGATCTGGTGTTTGGTTTGAAATTTTATTGTGGATGTTGACGCTTTTAAGCTTGTGGTGGATACTAATCAGAGCTGTGTTATAAGTGATGCAATCCAAACAACTTTTGAAAAATAAAGTTATAAAGTAAAACTACTACATTTTTCTCTTTAAAGAAGTTGAGGATACCCATTCAATTGAAAGATCAGTCTTACTGACTTCAATAAACTTTACAAGACTTTCTATGTATGATCAATTTTGGAACTTGGTAGTTGGGAAAAGATAAAGACCATATCACATGTTTGCAAAATTTTCAGTATTGTATATTGGGTTATAAATTTTCTTTTGAGAAAACTGTAACTTTTTCTGTATGTAACTGAATTTATTTCTGACATTATTATCTCAATATGATTGGTTTATCTTTTATTGTTCTAGAAATACAAATGAAATTTTCATGCTGTTTTTGCCTGTAATGAATTCTGTTTCATGACTATGGATAGTAATGGAAATTTTATCTTTAAACATATAAAATACAATTCTTGACACTTCTGATGGTTCACCAGTATATTTTCATCCTTTCCCAGGCCTTCAGATTGAAAAGCCCTGCATTTAAATTGAATAATAATGTTATCAGTAGCATAAAAAAGTCTTACAAAAATACCAACTCAAAAGTAAATTTAACAAGGTGGAAGTCCATAAAATCTGACGATAATCAAACGTTAGACTACATATCATATTTAAAGGGTCAGCATGCATTGTAAAAATTTCTATGTTATTTTGAATTGTATATATATATATCTATATATAGGGCCAAACTTATATTGTCTCTTAAATGTTGGATAGAAATACTCATTATGTCTTAAAACGAATTATGTATGAAAACTTCCTATTTTTTGTATTGAGAAGGATGTCCATTTTATATATTTATTTAAATATGCATATTTTTGTTATTATGTTTGTTGTTTATTGAAATTGTATTTACACCATGCATAACTGGCAATAGTAAAGGACGAATTCATAACTATTAAGCATTTTTATTGAAGCCAGACAAAATTTTGATCTAAATATATTTGACCTAATGGGACAGTAATCAAAAGTCATTGAATGAAAAATATTTTTTAACATTTGATTAAATCAGTTTTGAAATTAAAAGTACTTTGATGTACTGATATAAATTTTAGGGACAATTGTATATATCAAATCTTCTTTAAACATGGAAATAATCAATTAATTTCAGAAAAGCACTTTGGACACACACAATTTATGAAGTGTTATTTTGATTTTAAATCCTGTTGTAACCATGGTGACAACAATTATTCTAAAAGTATATATATATAATTTTTAGCCATTGAACTGCAGACTTACAGGATGATAGAAATTACCAAACTTAACTATGCATTGAAGCAGAGTTGCAAAATCTGTAAGTTCTTTTAAGTCTTAATAGGTGTTTTTGGCCAGGTTGTATGAAGTGCAAACACAGCAAATAACAGTAGTATAGTGAATTTCATTTGTGCAAAAAATAAAGGGTACGCATTTTGTGTTGTCAGTTTTTGCTACAGTTTTCAACACCGCACGTTCAGTCTTTCTAGAATGGTTTCATATAGATTAAAGAAGTGCACCTAATTTTGTGTACACATTTGGAGAATTTATGATTTTCCAGATGGTGAAACTTACTGTAGTTGACCGACACTAAAAGCTCATAAAACATAGAATTCAAATCCTCAGGAAAATGTTTTGCCTTACATTTACTGCATCCTTTGTTAACAGTAGTTAATAGTTCATTCAGACCATATCAGGTTGAATTTTGAAAGTGACATTTGTCACCTTTCTCTAAACCTTGTGGTGAAGTGCAATATATCGTCTCTTACAGATTAATTCCCTACCATATCATAATATTGGTGCTTTAACAGTAAATGTTAAAACAAAGGTTGTTAACTTTTTACTAATTGTGGATTCATTTATTTATGTTGATTTAATTTTTAGAGTTGGATAAAAATTTGCTATTTTGAAAGTGCAAGTACTGAATTTTGTTGAATCATCATTTGCTCCTTTCACTAAAAATATGTATTTCAGTGAGTATTTAAATTTGTTGTTTTCTCTTATCCAAGAAATCCTCTAAAAATTGATATCCTGTTCATTATTAATGATTCCACAATATTTTGTATTAATATTTACCATTTGAATTATTGCCAATATTTATAAAGAATCTCACTTTCTTTTTGTGAGTTGTGTTTTTTTTTACTCCAGGATTTACACTAGTCAAACATTGTCATATTGTAAACAAAGTTGATCATTCATAACTATTTTGAAGATCATACAGTAAACATATTTGTCATTTGTTCAGTTATATAAAACACATGCCACCATTGTTTATACATTGCACTGTACATACAAGATATATTTAAAATTTGAATGCATAAGAATATTATACTTTAACAGTAAGATTCAAAAAGATATACCTTTTTGCAAGATTAATGATATTTCTATACTTTCATTGCATGATCTAATTAAAACTATTAGAAAATTAACCATTTGATTTTCTGCAAAGTAATCAACATAAAGTATGATTCAGTGTTAAATTTTAAGAAATTTAAATTTATATTAATGAATATAAAATGTTTTCAATGTAAGATCAAATAGTTCAGATAAATTATAAGTATGATATTTCCTATGTTAGTATTAAGATGATTTTTTCTTGTATATGATTATACATGTACAAATAAGATGAAATAATCCAGAGGCAGCAATAACTAACAAGTATTTAATATAATGCTACTGAATTCATTGTTGTGCTGAAAATTTATAAAGCATATAATATTCTTGGAATATTTTCTATTTTAAAATAAAGCAAATTCAGTGAATGCTAGGAACAGCTGTTATGAAGGAAGGTATGCAATACTGGTTTCCAAATTAAAACCAAGTGTTTGTTTTTTCTTGTGGCTATTAGGAAATGTTTTTTTATGCAACCCAGTAGCTTCCGCAGCTGTCTTTGAAGTAGGCAGCATTATATTTTAGATTTCTATCTTATAAAATTTGGGTCCTTAATGCCTTTCAACTTCGTACTTATCTGGCCTTTAAACTATTTTTATTTGAGTTTCCCTAATGAGTCGTTTGTAGACAGAACACATCTGACATACACAAATATAGCCTTGTATCTTCGATGAGTTTTTTAATAGACCATCAAAGAATTGAAGAAACTCTCCCGTATCTTGATATATATATATTTATATGTATTAGCACCTGAGATCTTTAATTGGTTTATATTTAATATTTTAACCTTAAGACATGTAGCAAAAAAAACAGATTTGTACAGAAGGAATTTTAAGTTTGCCCATTCATACATGAACACTGAACCAGAGTCTGTCTGCACATAGTATTGCATTAGAATCTCAGTTAACAATTTCTTTCAAAGTAAATTGTTAGAGTATTATTTTCATTTACAAATTATCACTTATTTATTATGAAGTCTGTTCTGAGTAAATTTAGAAATGTATTCAGAAATTATGAATGTTATGGTCAAAAAGTTGTTGTGATCATTAAATTGATCAGATAGATATATTTTTGTGGTACTTGTAATGTAATTTTGATTTTGCTATGGGCATTGCATATTCTGTTAATAAAGTATACTGTAGTACACTTTTATTACTTTGCTTGTTATATTTAAGTCTATATAGTAAATATTTATTATATGGATTAAGGTGTTTTATATTGTAAGTACATTTTCTGATATCTTACATACCATTTTTTCCAGTGGCAGGCTAAATTTACCGCCCTTCATTCCAGGGAAACCACTTTGCACCACTAAAAACTTTGTTCTCATCATGAATATGACATAAATTGCTCTAGAGGTTAAGCTGATAACAATCACTCAATGAATCAATCCATTTTTCCTCAATAGATTGATATTATCAATGTTTTTAGTTTCTAAAATTTGTGGAGTTGTGAGAGCTATTCTTGATTAACTTGATGTAATTGTTCTAAAACTAACATTTATGTACCAAAAGGCAAATTGCCTGTCCACTGAAACCTCAAATAATGCTAAAAAGGCTCTTCTTCATTGTCACTTTGATTATTCCTGCTTTTCTTGGAATACCAGACTATCCCAGAAATTAAAAAAAAATACTTCAAATTGGCCGAAGCAAAACTGTAAGATTCATTAACAGATATTCTCCAAATTTTGACAAACCAGAACTATCCAGATTCGGTTTTCTGAAAATTGAAAACAGAGTTAATCAATCTTGATTGGCACATTCATTTGCATATGCACACAATCTACAAAGACAAATGTCCACAATATCTGAACAACAATGCTTGAAAAGTCAATGAACATGAAAGGTACAACACAAGATCCATCCCTTTGAACTTTGTTGTTACAAAAATCAAAGGGATATATTCTTTATCATTCTGTTTTGATGCAACCAAGGACTGGAACATGCTTCCTAGTTCTTTAAAGTTAATTGAAGACCTTGTCATTTTTAAAGCAGAGTTAAAATTCACAGGCACTTGTCTCTGTAAAAAAATACCTATATACTTAAATGTTATAAAAAGTTTAAAAGTAATTTTCTTAGACAGAATAGTGCCTGTGTTAAAATTATATCTTTAAAATCTCGTTGATTTGTGAATACCTAAATAACACCTAAAAAACTAAGCTAAAATTGTGCCATATTGTTCTTCATTGACAAGAGTTATACATAAAATTCATTCATATTTATGAACTACAAGTCAAATATATATCATTTTTATTCCTCTTAAACACTTTTCAAATTGGGCCAGATCGACTTTAAATATGTGAGGGATCGACTTGGGCTGGATCGACATGGGCCGGATCGACATGGAAGCTGGAAATCGGAGAGGATGAGGGAGAAACGATGTTTTTGTTTCCCCACTTTTTTGGCAACAAAAAAATTATTGAACTAAAAAAATGACAATGACTAAATTCTAGGCTATTAGACTAGGAAAGGTGTTTTGCATGCCACTCTTCAGTCTATTTTTATACCACTGGGGACAATGCCTTTACAGTATGTAAAGCCTTAATGCCAATAGTTTGTCGAGCCTGTAATCACCCTGTGTAATACGAGGCAACAGTAGTTTACCGATATTCAAATCTTAAAAAGCCGTTAAAATGACACAAAAGAGGTAAAAAAAGATAAAAAAATTACGAAATCACATGAACTCAAAAAAGAAACTAAATCGGATGCATCTACAGGGTAAAATTTAGACAACAGCAGTTTACCGATGGTCAAATCTCATAAATAGATTTAAAAAATCCATATGAAGCTAACACACAAAAACTTTTGGAATCGCATGAACTCCAAAAGGAGTGGAAAGCGGGTGCATCGACAGGTTAAGTGTCTCCTGACATGCATGCATCACCTGCCATGTGACCAACACTCATTCAAAATATCGCAATCGAGAATAGGACACAATCTGAAATATTAAAGATCAGACAACTCTTGTGGTATTTAAAGATCTAAGACTATAGAATCATGTCGCTAGTAAGTTGAGACAAAGGCACATCGGTCAACCAATTCGTGATGATGCTGGTAACTCTATGTAGTATAAAATAAGAAGACGCGGTAGGATTGTCAATGAGACAACTATAAAAATAAGTTGAGAAAGGCTTGATTCAGTAGATCGAAACAATGGACTGTCAATTTCAGTCGTTCTTCCTCATAACACTGCTGAAGCAGTTTTTGTGAAAGGAGCATATCCCATTTAATGAAGTCCGTATGGTATGACTTTGCACGACTGTAACGTAATAATTGAGATATATAAAGGCCTTACGATGAGGCAGATTATGATACTCCTGTGAAATGGGAAGTTGAAATCATCACGTTCGTCATAATTGTAATTTAAAATCGTCAATCTGTGTCAATGTCGAGGAAATGATCAAGATATGAATTAGACTGTCTAGTTGCGGAAGAGTGCTTATTCTCAACACTCGTTTAAATGTGGGTTATTGAGCGACAGGAAATCAATATTTCTGAAAGAGAAATTAACAAACTTTGGAAAATGTTTTTTTCTTTTTGTCTTTGAGAAGGTTTTGTGTGTGCTCTGCTTCATATCAGTACAAAAACAAGTCGACCAATAGGGTTGCACAACTAGGACTCATTGGAATACATATTGTCTGTCGAAAAATTAATCTCTCAAAATCAACAATGCAAAAAACTGTATTAAATTGCATGTGTCCGAAGCGCAATTATGTTGTCGATAAAAAAAGCATTTTGATGATATCATCTTCGATGTATTTGTCGTTGGAATCGCTGTGGTTTCTCACAAAGTAAGATTTTTCATTACATAAAACAGGAAAATTGTAAATGAATTTTACAGACTGAAACTATCAAAGAAATGTCATAAATATCAAATCCCATTAAAGTTTAAAAAGAAAAATAGAAAATTATAGTCTAGTGATTCCATCATCATGCACAAAAACTCAAAAGGCGACGCCGCGTATGTGCGTCTCATTAGCCGACAACACTTTTAAAAAATAGTAAAATGTTTTCATGTGACCAATTGCGATAGCATGGCAAAAATCTGCCCAAGGTTGTTGGTCTAGGCCAGAGCAAGGTATCTTACATGAAAAATGTCATCATCCAGAATATCCATTTAATATTCGCTAAATGGATTTTAAGAAGCCAATCATTCCTTTTCTATTTATGTATCCCCTTGGTATCGTCTTTCCTTTTTGTCTTGTCGTCCTATTTAACCATGTTGTTATCTTTCTCTCTTATACATGATTTCCTGTTAACCTTGCTGTCTTCTCTCCCTTTTTGGTCGGGTTAAACTCATTGGTAATATTTCAGTACGCCAAACGCGTATTTTCTCTACACAAGATTCATTAAGAGAACTTTCTATAATTAGTAATAACTATACAACTAATAAGTTTTTTGGTAAAACTGGGTTAAACCCCAAACATTTTGTCGCTGTACCATGTCAAATGACCTGTTGCATCTTGTGTTCGTTTTATGTCTATTTTTTGCGAAATAGTCCGGCATTGGTGGATGGTGATGTCTTTAATGCTTTCTAATGTTGTTAGCTATGATATATCCTTTTTATGTAATACTGGATAACAAGGACGACTCTATTCCAGGATTAAGTACTATATATACCATGGTCCTTACGAGTTTAAATATTTAAACGAATCCATGTATGTATTAATGAAGAAAAAACAACATATTTTTTGTAGGGTTGGTTAATGGTTCTCATATAAAATCATATTTATACAAAGTCTTGAGCGGGGATAAAACACAATTTTAGGGATTATTTCAAAAACACTAAAGACAACAAAATATGAGAAACGGATTTTTCTCTCTCAGTTAATCTTTGTTCAGTTTCCTAAATAGTTGAGAGGCGGATAAATTTCAAAAATGGGATGGAGCTTCAGCCACGGATTAAAATCAACATGATCCGCCAACTTTCCTCTTAGATTCTAGATGGGTTTCATGTTTAGTTATCACAGTATGGTACAACAAAAAATTGCAATTAAAACATCAAAAGAAAAATGATATTTGTATTACAAATAAGCGACGATCATGAAACTAGTACACAAAGAATATTTTGTGGAAATTTTAAATGGCAACATTCTCAGATTAACTGACTTCTGACAAAACTTTGGCAAGATTTACAATGTGACTTCTGTTAGTACTTCTTCTTATGATTCCATTGCCAAATTAGGTAGAATAACACAACCATCAGTAATCATGAATGGACTCAAAATATCCTGATATTTTCATTGTATATGTATTTTCTAAAATGTGATATTTCCCCATCCTGCCGTTATTTCGTATTCCCTTCTGCAAAAGTTCAAATGTCTCGTATTTGTTTCAGTATGATGACAATTCCAACCTAATTCCTGCTATAGATAATATCTTCCTCACCACAGTCTCTATCAACGATTTCTTCATGGGTTGATGGACCAAAGCTACATCATGAATTCATTGGAATACAATAGAATTCGTAAAATTTATATGTATAATAAGCTAAAATAGCAACATGATAAATGGCAGCATTCTTCACACGTGGTAATTTACTGCATGAATGATAAAGAGATAATCTGTAGCATTCCAGAGCCTCGTTTGTCCTTTTGTGGGCAGAATAGCTGTATCCTAAAATGTTAAGTGATCGATATCTATGCAGATTGCCCCCAATATCATTGACTGCTTCTTCAAGATGTTTTAATGCTTCCTCTGCTGCTAGAAAATTTTCTATTTTTAGACATGACATATGCAGTAAGAAGAATATATAGACGGCCGGGTGAATAAGAATAAATCTCTCTCCGTAGTCATGAATCATAGCCATGGCGCATTCTACTTGTAACGGATAAGGTAAGCAAGCAATTTGGTCACGCGAAAAGATAAAATCAAATGCACTTTCGATTTCGTCATCTTCATCTGCGGTCACCGGAGCTTCGGATGTTTGAAATATGTTTCCATTGGGCATCCCTAATTCGATTCCATGTAAAAGGGAACATTTCCCAGTGTATAAAAGGTATTTCTTGTGCCCCAGCATTTCATTTATTTTACTAATGACGGTATTGTATTCTTTTAAGCAAAAATGTAAAGATAAAGAATAGAGAGCTCCAGTGAAATCATCTATCAATGCACCATCTTCAAAGTGCTTTCTTGTACTTCTCAGTAATTCTTCTTTCCTTTGTATATTTTCTTCATTGATATATTGCTCGTAATATCTAAAACCCATTTGAATAGCTAAACATTTTAGAATTTTCGTTTTAAAGTTAGTATCGACATCTAAGAGCGCATCAATTGCTTGGGAAGTATGTAAAAGTTTATGAAGAGATTCACAAGCATCTGCAATGTTCGCAAATGCATATGAGATTCCTTGGTTAAATCTTGACTGAACACTGACCTTTTTCTTCAGGTAAAATAATTCATTGAGTTCCTTGTTTCGTTTGGAAGATTCTAGAACTCCATCTATGTTTCCTTCATGTGTTTTCCAATACTTATATAAATGGCTGTCTGATGGTAGACCATAAGTCATTGCACATTGTAATAAATTGTTCCTTATAGTATTAAGTTTGGAAATAACTTGTTTTTTCATTTTATTCTCAGTAAATCTATTATGAAATAAATTTCGTTGTCTGTGAAAATAATGAGACAATTTTTCCTTTTCAACAGCATTAAGTAGGTACGTCAAACAATCTTCAATTCTTGTAAGTAGTTTTTCTGGAACCCATTGGTCAATATCAGTTTCCTCTGACAACCAACACACAGTATTCTTCAAGTGGTAAGAGGTGATAAGGTCTGGAATAACAGGCTCGAGGAGAGTATTTCGTAATTTCTTCAAAATAACAAGGCACTGTGTTTGTGTATCATTAAAATCCCAAGCAAGCTGTCTCTCACCAAGGAGAAAAGATAAGCGCCACTCGAGCGAGAAATTGTGGGACGATCTATCACCTACAGGAATGAAGTGCCAAGACAGTTTTTGAATTTTCTCTACAATGTTTTGACTTGGCCAGTTAAATCTTCTTTCTCTTTGGGCCCACTCTTTCATACATACTGGCGATTGACCGTAAATAATTGCGTGAGCAGTGTCATGATCCAACGGAAGGTCTGGTCTATTTATGTGATAACCATATATGTTATCGTGGGCAAATTTCATAGATGGTCCGTGCACAGTGTGTGAAGATGTGTTCAGTGGTATTGTATGCTCAAATCTTTTCATCATACACTTAAGAAATTTTTCGCTTGATAAATAATTTTTGCCCGATCTTTCTTCCACTAAATCCTCATGCTGACAACCAAACATTAACGCAAGTGTCTCAACGTCGGATGCTGGAATCAACCTATAATATCCAGGACTACAGTTTGATGATTCGGTAACCAGTACAGCACGATGTTCTTGCTCATCAGAACCCTTTTTCTTTTCTACATTTGAATCGATACTTTCGCTATGTTTAACAACTACACCCCTAAACACAATCATATCATCGACATCGCTCTTCCCATAATCAGACGTCCCGTCAAATGTGCTGCCACCTGAATATTGGTCCCAGTTTAATCTGTTAGTACTAATGCAGTCGTAAACTAATGCCATATTCTTAGCTATTTTTGTTATTAAGTTTGCCTTTCCATGACACAGATATGACTTCCAAATATACCTTGACAGTTCTTCTGTTTTACTGAAATTATCATGTTGATCGGCCATGTCCGGATACGCAAACTTGAAAATAAAAAATAGAAAGTGAGTGCTTGCTTCATTTTGTAGGAACGACCAAGCACACCTTTTTTAAATAAGATAAAAATCGATTCTTTAAATATGATTGAATACGAAACATTTCTCTGGAAAACTGTGACACCACAATGCAGCTCGAAGTCTTGACGCAATAACCCAAAAAGAAAAGAAAATATCAAAACCTGAAGATTAGTTTCAATGCTCAAAGAAACACTGAGCTTCATTTATACTATTTTGAAAACAGAATTAAAACTGCTGTACAAACATAAAATTGTCTTGCTCTACGTTTGGTAACCATATAAGAATAAGATATGGTATGATTGCCAATAGAACAACTGTCCACAAAAAGGATAAGATTGGATGCAAACAACTTCAGGTCACATTACGGCCTTCTACACAGAGCAAAACCATACCATATAGTAAGTTATAAAAGGCCCCTGATGACAAAATGTGTGTATATATATATATATAACAGAGAAAACTAGCGGTCTGATTTAAGTTGAGAACATTAAAAGAAAAACATTTATGACATGCGACAACCAACAACAACAACTTAACCACGGACTCCAGGGTTTGGACAGACAGATATAGAAAGTGACTGGGGATATCATATTCAGATAATATCCCTCCCCAAAACATGGGACAGTGGTGTCATAACACAACATACAAGCAGTTGCTGCAAGCTATTTAGAAGCCGAATTTCAACTTATAAACAAACAATGTTTTTCAGACTAAATTTTGTATCAATAAACATATTAATATCTCTCTGTTTACAGGAGGTTCCAATAGAAACTTTTAAACAGGACTTTAATTGTTATCGAGTACATAAGTTTAATGGTTATAATCAAATTAAATGGAACAAAAGTTGTATTATTTCAATTGAAATCGACATGTTTTAATTTACGTTAAGATAGCAATAACAAAACAAAAAAACATGTGAAATAAACAAGTAAAAAAAAACTAATCATACAAGTAGATATTCAACTAAGTAACTAAACAAACAAACAACTAAATCACTAATCGAACGAATTCTCGTTTTAATTGTTTTACATTTGCCATTTCGTGGCCTTTTATAGCTTACTTTGCGGTTCATGGTTTGGCTCATTGTTGAAGGTCGTATGATGACCTATAGTTGTTAACTTGTATGTCATTTGGTCTACTGTGGAGGGTTATCTCATTGGCAATCATACCACGTCTTCTTATATCTAAAATAACTTATTTAATAATAATTGCTTAATATTATCATTCTAATGTGAAGCGCAGTAAAAACCCGTATCAATATCCGTGATATTAAACATTACCTAAGTAATAGGAAGTTATTTTTAACAGTACTTCCTGGTCTTTGAATTTGGTCCACTTGCATGTTAGCACTGTGGTCAAGACGTTCTATCATCAAATGAACAATAGAAATAGAAATCTACAAAAAGATGATAAAATTACCTTTTTCAAAAATATGAAATGCGTCTTAAATCTGGAGTATATCAATTTATGCTTGAAAGGATCTATGTGAAGCCACACCTCTCAAAGGGAGAGCACTTCATATATAAAATATCTCTATTTTCATACAAGACAAAACTAAATTTCGTATTATTTGATAGGCTGCTGCATGGAATACACTTATGACTAATAATGCATGATCGAATGATATCTTACGTAAAGTAAGAACATATTTTGAATCTTTCTCAATATTATTTAGATTTATTCGCAAAAATCTAGTACAGACTCAGATACATAAAGGAGAAGGTCCGGAAAGATTTCTGACATTTTTTAAACACTTAAGTGTTTACTTCAGTTGATTTAATTAGTTTATGTAAAAGATTTGAACTGATTTTGTCATTAAAGACGCTCAAATTCAAGCTTAAATATGAAAACTCTATCAAATAGGTAATAAAACGTCACTTTTCAGATGGTTTTGGTCTAAAATGGAAGTGGACGCATTCGTCTTCAGTCTCAACATTTATATATGTCATGTATTATCATTAAATACAACATATATTCAAATATTAAGACTGAACACAAGTGCAGCCTCTTCCATTTTAGACAAAACCAGTCTTACAATTAGCACAAATGCTAAAATTGTGAAGATTTCAGTATTTTTGCATGAAATGATGATGCTAGTACCTGATGCATGACCATTGTATTGTCAAAAGCAGCCCATATTTATGTAACAAAAGTATTTACTTTCCTATAAATAGCTAAAAGTTGACATTTTCATCAACTTTCTAAAAACGCTATATTTTGGGCCCAAAAAGGGGTCAAACCGGGCCTACATCTTTAAATAAAGGGCAACCTAGGACTTCCATCTGGAAAAGGGGAGGGTTCAGTCTAATCTTCATAAATGTATACTTGATTTTAAACATTTTTCCGAAGAAAAGGATTCCGGTACCTTGACCCCAACCAACGCAATACCGTTAAATATCTAGCACCTGAAAAAAAATATTCCAAAGAATGTATATTATTTGAAAGATTTACAAGCAAATTGGGCAATGCATGCTAAAATACTGTCTGGAGCTTTCATGCCAGCTCGTCATTTCTACAATAGCTACTTTTCTAATTATAAAAATGAATGAGATTTCTCAATAATATTTAAAAAAGATTTTCCCCTCACAAAAAATCAAATCAAACAAAAATTATGCTTCTGCTCAGAGAGACTCTATTAACATTATAGGTTACGTTCTGCCTAACTGTTTTATTTTATTCGAACAAAATACTATTTTTTTTCAAATGGTTTAAACATTTCTCTTAAATTATAATTTAGTCGATTGTACTCCAACAATTCTGCTTCAACGTAGTGATTGAAATATATCTTTGAATACTTATACCATAGCTTTAATATTAGAAAAAATGAAAATATTATAAGCGTTTTTCTAGAGTTTTTTTATCGAGATTAGTTGACAGACTGTAAATCATACCCTATTGTAGAAAACTTATTTCAAACGGATCAGCACATCCTTTATTTTACGGTGATGTTGTTAACCGATCACGGAAATTTAGATACAATCCGAGTAAACTTATCTATCAATTAACTAACTATTATCTAAATGTTTACCAATTCAACACTGTAATTAAATCTTTGAATATTGTTTTTAATAGCTCACCTGGCCCAAAGGGCCAAGTGAGCTTTTCTCATCACTTGGCGTCTGTCGTCCGTCGTCCGTCGTCTAGTTTAAAAAATGTGTCCGATGACCCCGCCTGCCAACCAACATGGCTAAAAATAGAACATAGGGGTAAAATGCAGTTTTTGGCTTATATCTCTGAAACCAAAGCATTTAGAGCATATCTGACATGGGGTAAAAATGTTCATCAGGTCAAGATCTATCTGCCCTGAAATTTTCAGATGAATCAGACAACCCGTTGTTGGATTGCTGCCCCTGAATTGGTAATTTTAAGGAAATTTTGCCGTTTTTGGTTATTATCTTGAATATTATTATAGATAGAGATAAAATGTAAACAGCAATAATGTTCAGCAAAGTAAGATCTACAAATAAGTCAAATGACGAAAATTGTCAGTTGACCCCTTAAGGAGTTATTGCCCTTTATAGTCAATTTTTAACCATTTTTCGTAAATTTTTGTTATCTTTTACAAAAATCTTCTCCTCTGAAACTACTAAGACAAATTTAACCAAACTTGTCCACAATCATCATTAGGGTATCTAGTTTAAAAAATGTGTCCGATGACCCCGCCCGCGAACCAAGATGGCCGTCATGGCTAAAAAATAGTACATAGGGTAAAATGCAGTTTTTGGCTCATATCTCTGAAACCAAAGCATTTAGAGCAAATCTGACGAGGATAAAATTCTTCATTAGGTCAAGATCTATCTGCCCTGAAATTTTCAGACCAATCAGGCAACACGTTGTTGGGTTGCTGCCCCTGAATTGGTAATTTTAAGAAAATTTTGCAGCTTTTGGTTATTATCTTGAATATTATTATAGATAGAGATAAACTGTAAACAGCAATACTGTACAGCAAAGTAAGATCTACGAATAAGTCAAATGACCAAAATTGTCAATTGACCCCTTAAGGATTTATTGCCCTTTATAGTCAATTTTTAACCATTTTTCGTAAATTTTTGTAATCCTTTATAAAAATCTTCTCCTCTGAAACTACAAAGACAAATTTAACCAAACTTGTCTACAATCATCATTAGGGTATCTAGTTTAAAAAATGTGTCCGATGACCTCGCCCGCGAACCAAGATGGCCGACATGGCTAAAAAATAGTACATAGGGTAAAATGCAGTTTTTGGCTCATATCTCTGAAACCAAAGCATTTAGAGCAAATCTGACGAGGATAAAATTCTTCATTAGGTCAAGATCTATCTGCCCTGAAATTTTCAGACCAATCAGGCAACACGTTGTTGGGTTGCTGCCCCTGAATTGGTAATTTTAAGAAAATTTTGCAGCTTTTGGTTATTATCTTGAATATTATTATAGATAGAGATAAACTGTAAACAGCAATAATGTACAGCAAAGTAAGATCTACAAATAAGTCAAATGACCAAAATTGTCAATTGACCCCTTAAGGAGTTATTGCCCTTTATAGACAATTTTTAACCATTTTTCGTAATTTTTTGTAATCTTTTACAAAAATCTTCTCCTCTGAAACTACTAAGACAAATTTAACCAAACTTGTCCACAATCATCATTAGGGTATCTAGTTTAAAAAATGTGTCCGATGACCCCGCCCGCGAACCAAGATAGCCGACATGGCTAAAAAATAGTACATAGGGTAAAATGCAGTTTTTGGCTCATATCTCTGAAACCAAAGCATTAAGAGCAAATCTGACGAGGATAAAATTGTTCATTAGGTCAAGATCTATCTGCCCTGAAATTTTCAGACCAATCAGGCAACACGTTGTTGGGTTGCTGCCCCTGAACTGGTAATTTTAAGAAAATTTTGCAGCTTTTGGTTATTATCTTGAATATCATTATAGATAGAGATAAACTGTAAACAGCAATAATGTACAGCAAAGTAAGATCTACAAATAAGTCAAATGACCAAAATTGTCAATTGACCCCTTAAGGAGTTATTGCCCTTTGTAGTCAATTTTTTACAATTTTCATAAATTTTGTAAATTTTTGTAAATTTTTACAAAATATTTTCCACTGTAACTACTGGGCCAAGTTCATTATAGATAGAGATAATTGTAAGCAGCAAGAATGTTCAGTAAAGTAAGATCTACAAACACATCACCATCACCAAAACACAATTTTGTCAAGAATCCATCTGTGTCCTTTGCTTAATATGCACATAGACCAAGGTGAGCGACACAGGCTCTTTAGAGCCTCTAGTTGGTATAAATATTGCTTTTGTTATCAGCTAAATACTAACACATATGTACTTTCACGGTACTACAATCTGTCGATACCTATAGTTTGGCATTGCACAAGGTCATGTTAAAGACGACTTTACAGTAAATCTATTGGATGTTGGATGTGTACTGATTGATATTTTAGTCTTAGATACATGATTTTTTTATTTGTTGTTATTGGCTTTGAACTAGATGTCAGTAACTGCGAGTACTCTCAGATCTGTACTTAGTGTGTTTTTTGTTGTTAGGGATGAGGGATGGATATATACCCTGCCACGTCCTGTCTGTGTTTTTGTTTGATATTTTTCTTTGTATCGATCTGATGAGGTTAGCCTTTTTCAAATGATTTTCATAGTTTGTTCTTATGTTGTGCTGTTACATCACTGTCCAGGTTAGGGGGAGGGTTGAGCGCTCACAAGCATGTTTAACCCCGCCACATTCTTTATGTGCCTGTCCCAGGTCAGGAACCTGTTGTTAAGTGGTTGTCGTTGGTTCATGTCTGTTATATTTGTTTTTCGTAAATTGTTTTGTTAAAATTAGGCTGTTGTTTTCCTCAATTGAATTGTTTCATATTTTTCATGTCGGGGCCTTTTATAGCCGACTATACGGTATGGGTTTTTCTCGTTGTTGAAGGCCGTACGGTTGCCTATAAATGCTAACATCCACTTCATTTGAACTTTGGTGGATAGTTGTCTCATTGGCAATCATACCACATCTCCTTATTATTATATTCATTTAATAAATAAAGATCGATCGGTAACTACTATATGCACTAAACAAAGGGAAAAAGACGAACGGAGATCAACGAATGTTGGAGCTATTGTCACTGTGTATATTTCATTCGAACATTGCAAAATAATTGCTTTTATTGCCTAAATTTCTGCAAAATTTGAAACTAAAAAAGGCGTTTATTTTGTTGTTGGATCCGAAAATTTGCACGAAACGGCACGAACTCACTAGGTACTTCTAATATTTCGAGGATTGTAAACGCATAATTTTTCGTTGTTACAGATTAAAGTATACGCTAAGAGTTTTTGAGGGAATGCGATGTGTCATATGTGTATTATACACAGAAGAAATTTTGTCATAATTGCACGTTTTCGCAAATAAATCTATCTAATACATTATCATCTGGCTGTTAAGTTGATGTAACTTTGTATTACAAATCGAAATGACAAAAGGAAAACTTATAATTTTTAGATATCCTGTTAATAGTATCATTATGACAAACTTAATGAAAGAATTAACACCTTTCCTGTATAGCGTTGTTATTCTGTCGTTTCCCAAGTAGCATACTTATGAAAAAATATCTGTTGGATTCGAGTGCAACGTTTCTTAATAAAAGATAATGGACTGCTTCAAAACACCTACTGGCCATTAAAATATAACTGATAAAGCAATATATATTTTGTTTTAAATAAAGTTTCAAATTTAGTTTTAAAAGTCAATATTTAAAATTAATAAAAATGTTTGACGTCATTTGGTCAATGAAGGATGAATAGCTGAATCATTGTATGACGCCATATCAATATTTTTAGATTATAGGAACACATGTCTTGTATTCAGAGATATTCTATATTCAGATCGATCACTAAATACAATAAAATGTACAGCTATTTATAAAACAGGCAATGTGAAGAAGAAGAACGAAATGAGATTTAGCGCAGTAGGTCTGTATTTAACTGAAATTGTCAACATTTTTCATTTTCTGCAACACATTTGTTGCAAGATGCCAGACAAATTAATGCTGATACAGCAGCCTTGACGCCGAAAACCAATTTTATAAAGCTTTACATTTCAGACGGTAGAATTAAAAGTGGAATACAACAAATAAAGTACATTAATCGACAATGAAACATATTTTTGTTTTAATAATTGAAAACCGATATATTATACAAAAGTAAGTAAAGGTACTATACCTACATGCAACTCGTTAATATACTTTATGTATGAAAATCAACACTTCCGATTTCTGGATTAAATATTCTACGCACTATTATATGTGGAACCCAAAATTTAATTGCAGGCGCAATTTTCTTTAATTATTATGTTTCTACTTAGATTTTGCTTGTACTTAATTTTTTTTCAAAGTAGGCAAACAATTAAAGAATTAACAGGAATTGGTGTAAAGCTGATGGAGAATATACGAATACAACGAAATAAGGGGTATACATCAATAAGACAACAGTCCAAACACACGCATAACCAAATGACATCCCTAGAGGCTTAGTATACAGTCTTGATGCTACCTGAGAGGAGGTTCGTTGATGTTTTGTCTTGAAGCAACTTTCCTTCATTAAAATCTCGAGCAGAGGACTAAGATAAGAGAGAAGAAAGAGAAAGAGATGCACCACCACCACTTATATGTTCTAGTTGGACCAAACTTTTCTAATTCAATTTTTTTCAAAATGCCATTCGTGTAGAAATATTCGACCAGAAAAACAGAAAAAAATATCGTAGATTCTTTCTTTATAAGGACTTCTAGATGGTATTAATTTGCAAGTGTAGGAGGCAACTGAAGACGGACTGACAAGCCAGTTTATTCCAAGGCTCCAGTGTCCTTCTCAATCTGGAGTATTTATATTGAAAGAAAAAAAAATTTAGGAATATGAGCGTCAATCTCGTAATAATTTATTTAAGAAAAAATCCAAAGGTACCTATGGTATAGAAATTTTCAAAATATAAATTACAATTTATGAAAATATGGTAACAGGCACCTCTCCCCTTCGAAAGTTAGACTCATGCTGTGGTGGGAGGGGAGTCCGTAGGCTATGCTGTGGTGGGAGGGGAGTCCGTAGGCTATGCTGGATGTATAAATACACATCCACGGCCGGTCAGAATGGGGACATCAAATGCGAGGTTAGTATTGTGAAGCTTTTTCAAGATTCATAACAACAACTCTGAGAGGACTTGTTGATGTTCTTGTTACAAGGCAACAATTCTGTCCTATCCAACAAACCCTATCTTTCCAATTGCAGTTATCTCAATCCCTACATTTAGGGCGACTGATTTTGTAGACATAAGAAATCTCATTGTTAATTTTGCAAAACGGACATATTTCCTAACATCATTGTCATTTGGTCTCTTGTGGATAATTGTCTTATTGGCCATCATACCCCCATCTCCTAAGTATTATATAATAAATTTCATTGTTGAATTTGTTCTCATCTTGAATATGAAAGCAATATTTGCCGCTGTACGTTAAGGATACCAATGGTATAGAAATTTGAAAAATAAAAATAAATTTTATGGATATATGGTAACAGGAACGGCTCCGCATCAAGCATTAGACTTATGCTGTGGCGGGGAGGAGTCCGTATATGTTGTGCAGAATGTATACATGCATATCCACGGCCGGTCAGAACGGAACAAATTATATTATTAAATGTAATACTAAACACATTGATAGACATTCCAAATGCTAGGTCTATTTGTGCTCAAGTTCAGTATATAAATCGGTAAATGCATTATGTAGTACACATTACTACACAATCTAATTTTAAACAACCCTATCTACATACATAGAATATATCAAGTATATTCTGAATCAAAATATGACCCAAATACTAGGAGTTGAGAAACAGTAACGGATTTAATCAATCGAACAGAACAACAGTTTACATTGCGCCTTAATTTTATAAATAATTGCTTTCTATCAAGGTTAAATTAAAGACATGTAGCGCCAGAATGTCATGCTACCGTTCTCTGTCTGACGGCAATACGAGGAAAGCTCTCAGTCCGAGTGGTGCATAAGTGACCTGTTGTAATGTCTCACTGCAAGTTCAAGAACACATTGAAAATAGATGCGACACAGAGCTACATAGTTATTTTGATTTCGCGTTCGGCTGTACGACAGAAGAGTGTCCGTTTTGTTCTGTTGAATGTATAAATTGCATAAAATACATAAACTATGGACGTTGAGCAGCAAACCATCTGTGTGGTATTGCAGGTTTACGACTTTTAAAATGTTTTACAGTCCATATTATCTGCAGAAAAAAAAACAATCTCATTGCTTTTGGTAAAAACTTGGCTCTCACTTATTTCAGATTTCTTTACTTGTGTCATTGCTGTTATTATATTGCAAGCCAGCACGGATTAAGAAAAAAGTTAAGTAAGCCCGACTATATTGTATGATTTTATAATAATGCAATTATTTCAAGATTTTGGTTAGTGTATCCAAGATTTTGTTAGTGTAGTTTGTTGTACTGTCCAAGATTTTGGTTGGTGTAGTTTGTTGTACTGTCCAAGATTTTGGTTGGTGTAGTTTGTTGTACTGTCCAAGATTTTGGTTGGTGTAGTTTGTTGTACTGTCCAAGATTTTGGTTGGTGTAGTTTGTTGTACTGTCCAAGATTTGGGTTAGTGTAGTTTGTTGTACTGTCCAATATTTGGGTTGGTGTAGTTTGTTGTACTGTCCAAGATTTTGGTTGGTGTAGTTTGTTGTACTGTCCAATATTTTGGTTGGTGTTGTTTGTTGTACTGTCCAAGATTTTGGTTGGTGTTGTTTGTTGTACTGTCCAAGATTTTGGTTGGTGTAGTTTGTTGTACTGTCCAAGATTTTGGTTGGTGTTGTTTGTTGTACTGTCCAAGATTTTGGTTGGTGTTGTTTGTTGTACTGTCCAAGATTTTGGTTAGTGTAGTTTGTTGTACTGTCCAATATTTTGGTTATAGTAGTTTATTGTACTTTCTAATATTTGCAGTTATTCATGTTATCCATTTTCATGTATTATTCTTCAAATACTTTTTACAGTAGTTCTACTTATAAATCAGTAAATTCCTAATGTAGTTCAATATCTAATTTTAAATGACCCTATATTACTACATAAATAGAACTGATCGTCTGCATCTAAAAAAAATCAATAAGTATGTGTATGTCGACCCAAATATAATGAGTTGAAAAACAGTAACGGTTTAAAAGAATGGAAATGAAAAATCGTTTTAATTTTGCAAACAAGGCGAGTTGAAGACGTGTGTTGCCAGAATACTGTGGTACCACTTTTTTGACAACCCGATTGAACTCTCTCCAGAGTGGTCCATATATGACCTGTTGTAATGGCCTACTGATGGGGGGGGGGGGGGTGCTTGGATGAAATTTAAAAAAAAAGGCAGGACAGAATTTTTGAGTAAAAAAATAGGCAGGATGAGCAACTTGGCAAAAAAAAAGGCAGGATGACAAATTATGTATAAAAAGTCAGGATAAACTAATAAAAAAAAAAAAGGCAGGACCGAATAAAGTGAAAAATAAAAAGGCAGGACCGAGATTACAACTAAAAAAAAAAAAACGCAGGACAAAATTTTCATCCTACCATTGTTATTCGATATATGCATGAAGTAAGGCAATTGAATAGCAAGTATCCAGTGTGGTATTGCATGTTTATGAAGCATGCATGTGGTCCGTTTTACGCAAAACAAATTCCCTTTTTTTGTAAAAGAGAGTTAAAAATAATGGAACTCCCCAAAATCAAATTCTTGATCCTGTTCCTTCTACCATTGATAATCCGTCCTCCGACTTGTCTCTCCTGTTTGATTGCAGCCTATATTTAAAAACATGACTGAATGGCATGATCTTATAATTACATGTATGCAGACATCGCATGAAACATTAGAATACTGGAGTTCATAAACTGTATATGAAATTTGAAACGCACTTTAAATTCGACCTATCTTTTGACCGTCTTTTTCTTCTCATTTAAATTTCTTCAACACTTGTTTATAATGTATTACAAGTCATACCTGACTACTTCGACTTGCATAAGAAGTAGCATTATCCGGTTTACTAGCTACACATATATCACATTTACATGTATAAATACACACATTTATAGGCAGTAACTGTATTATTAAAGATCGGCGTAGAGTTAGATAGAATTTAGAGTTCAAAATACAAGGCCTGAAAATTATAGTTGTATGAGCTGAAAATATATGATCGTGTATTGATTTGTGCGTTCAACGATATATATGTGATTGTAAAACGTATAGCGTTTAGTTTTATTTGATTTATTTTCATGTGAAAGAGTAAGTGTTTTACTACACACACATATATATTTATATATTGAATTTATTTATTGTGCATATATGTTAATCTATAAACTGATGTTATCGGAATATCCACTTTCAAAAGCTATTAAAAAAGACGTGCAATATATATTTCATATTAAAATGCAGGTGTTGATGTTTTCCTTCATTATACACATGACTTGTACACTTAGTTTACTTGTTCTATTAAGATTGTAGCTCTACAAACTCCCACTGAGGGTCATTATGTTTTTCGGTCTGCATGTGCGTCCGTTCGTTCGTCTGTCCGTTTTCAAACTGACAAACAAAGCCAATTTATGTTAATGTATACAACTGTAAAACTTTTATATGAGGATTAACATTGAGAAATGTATAAGATGACTGCGGCCAGATTTACCCATCTTGAACATTATCAAACTATGTTAAAGTATTTTGAAATCCCATATATCTGGCAAAATGAATGCAGAAGATTACGAAAATAGGAAGGTATTGGTGCAAATTTTTCAACCGCTTGATAGGAAAATCACGAAGTACGGTTTTCGTTAACTTCAAATTTTCACAACTGAATTTTGTCTTTACAATATGCTTCAGGCTTTTTTAGAGCTAGTTGTCGGACTGTATATTAAACAGAACATTTTCATTTACCTGTTAAAAATATGTATTATGTAATTTAACAAAATGTTTACTCGTCACTATATCAATATATATTTTATTTTAACTGTTTATTTTGTAGGCCTGTTGACGACTAATCTTTAAGGAATTATGCAGGCAGTGACAATCAGATAGATAATGTCAACGACAGACGTCACTTTGCACGAGAAGATAAGACTTGTTGACAAGGTTACCGAAGAAAGTAAAGGGGACGACAGGTTGCACGAAGAAAAAAGTCTCCAGGACTTAGCAGCAACGAATGACAAGAGAAAGGAGGAGGCAAATTTATACGATGACATAAAGGTTGATGACGAAAATAAAGTTTCTTCGCCTCACATAAGAAGTAGTCTAGATGGCGACGATGAGGACGCTGCGAATCAACGACATGAAAGTCATGGAAAACGAAAATGGTTCTGTGTCATCGGTTGTGCAATTGCACATTTCGTCTTGGGTATGAAAGTATATTTTTTTTGTAAATCTAACTTATTGACATCACAGACTTTATGTGGTTATTGTGCCCCGCGCATAGAAATACAAGGAGTCCGTCCGTCCGTCCGTCAGTCCGTCTGTGCGTCCTTCCGTCCGGTTTTGTTAGCGCTCTCACATGTACAAATCGTGCCAGATTTTTATAAAACTTGTATCATATATTTTAATCATTAATGTCTGGCCAGTATTTTTTAAAGTTATGCTCCTTGGAAACATTTATTATATGGGAAATTGCATCGTTAGCGCTCTCATGTGTACAATTCTTGCCAGATTTTTATGAAACTAATATTGTAGGTTTATACCAGCAATGTCTTGGACGAGTTCGAAAATCTGTGCCGATCAGTAATTTTTAAAAGAGTTATGGCCCTTAGAAATATTAATTATATGGAAAATTGCATTGTAAGCACTCTCATGTGTACAATTCTTGCCAGATTGTTATGAAACTTATATTATAGGTTTATATTAGCAATGTCTCGGACAAAGTCGAAAATTAGTGCCGATTAATTATTTTTAAAGAGTTATGACCTGTAGTAATATAAATTATATGCCGATATGCATTGTATATAAGCGCTCTCACATGTACATTTTTTTCCAGATTTTTATCAAATTCATATCAAAGGTTTATAACAGCAATGTCTCGGACAATTTCAAAAATAAGTGCCGATTAAATATTTTTAATGAGTAATGCCCCTTTTTAATATTAAATATATCGGAAATTGCTCTCAAGTCTTCAACTCTCTAAGATAATTTTAAAAAGTCTTAAAGAACATTTTTTTTTTAGTTATTGCCCTTAGACAGATAAAGTATTGCAACGCTGGATACATTGGAACTCTGTTCTTTTTTCATGTGTTTGAACTGAGACGTTTATGAGAGGATAATTATGAATGGATGATTTTGGTCGATGTGTTTGTTTTCGTACAACGACAATAAATTACAGTATTTTTTAAGTCGTTCATTTACGAAAACAAACAGCAAACAGCATAATCTCTGTTACATGTGTTGAAGTTTTTTAGGAGTTATTTCAAGTATTCCACGTATTTATTAGAATGGTCTTGTCTATTGAATATCTACATGATGATTGGTTATCTTTAAAAAAAAAAAGAGAAGGAAATAAGCCACAAATAAGATTTCAAACAAAGTTCTGTTGACTGAACGTCCCTGATTAAGTTTCATCCTAAGAAAACACACCAAAATACGGAATTTGGTCCGTTTTTTCACTTTGATTTCCATTACAAAATATTTCTTTTAATCTGAAGTTACCTCCCACATACAGCAATCATGTTTTTCATGTTTTCTAAATCAATACAAAAAAATAAAGGGATAAGCATTTCACGATAGCAATACATATTCTTAATGTGTATTTCATGTAATCGTATTAGAAGCGTCTCGCGAAATGGGACACAAAATGAACCTTTTCTTTCTTTTACCCCCCATAAAAAAAAGCCCAACAAAAAACACTAAGATAAAAATATAAAACAACAAAATGTACAGTGCACCTTTCAAATTGACTATTTAAGGAGGATTTGAAAGATCGAGCGGAGTGCTGTATCTACACATTGAAAAGAAGTTTGGAAATGGTGCGAGTGATATTGCCTGGGTGATATCTCTTAGTGTTACCCTGAAGCTGTTATTTGGTATGTATTAAGATGATTAGAACAAATTAAGATTTTTATATAGCATCTTTACATTCCCTGTAGTTAACAGCTACAATTTAGCGTGTAGTCCCCGGTATTGCACTGGTACAAATCAAAATGAGGAGTTTACGGCAGTACCACATGATATTCTTGTTTAAAAGGTTTTTTTTCCACACAAAGGGTTTTTGCAAAAAAAAGATCGATATTGTAGTTATCTTGTTGTAGTATCGTGCAATATGATATTCTACTCTCTCGCGATCGGAGCAAATACAAATATAAATGCAATAATCCTAGGAAATACCTAATATTCGGTAGGCCTGCAATCTGATTAAAATTCAGACCAAATCTTGACTCGCGTGCTCGTATATTATTTATATAAGGATATATAAGCTATTAAGATAACGAAATCAGAGATCTATATTTTAATTTAAATTGATATGACTGTATTCAAAAGTGTGATTATTGCACAGATTTTTTCATTTTATGTATTTCGATTAACGTATTTCATTTCCTGTTAAATGCAGCTATATTCAGAACGAGATCGCTTCGGGAAAGGTGAATTATTCATCATTTTTATTGGTTTAAGGCTTTTTCTTCGAAGTCAGGGGCATCGTTTCATTTGGACACTAACTACGAATTTTTACATTCTAAACATACAAAATGTGAGGCTTTCAGGTCGAGTTCTTCTCAAAGATAGGACCAATCACAAAAATCCCCTTTAAGTCAACCCTTTAATTTTCTATATTCATATTCACCTAGAATTAAAGTTATTTTGATTTCAAAATTGTAAGTAGCTTAACAACAAGCTACAAATATAACATGCATAGTGAGATCCGAGGAAGTTAAGCAATCAGTTATTTGGTAGTTATAGTAGGGTTTTACATTATACTGGGAATTCGATACACTTTTGTTTTTTATGCTCTCGCTCGTTTTATGTTTTTGTTTTTCCAAAGTTTTTGTTTCTAGCCTGTTGACATTGTGGTCAGGTAATATGGACTTCCCCCTTTTTAATTTACTTTTGAGTTCGGTATTAACCTTATTTTTTTTTGTTTTTTCAATGTTCTGGAGACTTTCAGAGAAATACGTGTTATGAGCATGGAGATCAGTATATGGATAACGTCTGTGTTATGTTTTTTTACTGAAAAAATATTGATTTTGGTTAGGGGACGACCAATTATTTGATATTCTGGTGGAAGGATTTCTTTACGGATTGAATACTCAGTATATTCATTTTCATCAACTGTTATGCATGCTTATTTATTTTCACTTTTGTACACTAAGGTTTATTGCATTTTTGTGTGGCAGAATATTCATTTGGCAAGATTATTTATTTTTAGCTCTTACCGGGCCAGGAAACTCATTTTCAAAATCCTAATTCCTCCCCTTCACCCAGAAAAAAAAATGGTCGTCCCCATACAATACTTTTAAAATTATTGTTTACGATTTGAAAATTATAGACGCGCCATCCTTAATCAGAGGCGGGTTTAGGGGAGGGGGCAGGGGGCCCGGGCCCGCCTTTTGTGGGAAAAATTTGGTTGATTATTTAGGGAATCACTGAAGCATGACTGGAACGGGCCCCCCTCTTTGGCAGTCAAGTGGGCCCCCCTTATGAAAATTTCTGGATCCGCCACTGCCTTTATACAAGTCCGCCAACATTTACAAAAAAACATGTATATAAAACGAGTGTAAATATTCAACATCGAGATTATATGTACACAAACACATGTTTACTATGTTTACATTAAATGTCAGTGAATTATGCAACAAGATAATAAATGTTTATGTACGGAATGACTCTGAAACTTTTGTTTTGACATTTTATATTATATTATTTTGTACTAACGGTCGAAGAAACCGGAAATTTGATAGCAAAACAAAGTAAAATCTCCTTGTGTTTCAGATATTAAGTCAATAGATTGTTAACTTCAGTAACTATAGATTTATAGTTATTTTAAAACCACAAAAATATTAATAAAAGGATATTGCGGTGAAAACCAACGAAACCTAAAAAAAAAATCTTTTGAGGTTAACACATACTATCTTCAACAAATTAAGACGAAGAAAGTGTGACAGTCTTTTAAATATGTTTACAGGCCCTTTGGTCATGAACCCCCCTTTCTAGCTCACCTGATCCAAAAGGCCACGTGAGCTATTATCACCACTTAGCGTCCGTCGTCTGTCGTCCGTTACTTTTACAAACATCTTCTCCTCTGAAACTACTGGGCAAAATTTAAGAAAACTTTTCCACCATCATTGCGGTATCTATTTTAAAACCTTAATTGTACGATAATCCTGCCTTCCAACCAACATGGCCGGCATGGCTAATAAAAAGCTGGAAATAAGTAAGTTTTAAAATTCGAAAGGGAAATTATGTCAATATATATAAACAATTCACCAAAGTTTCATGAAAATTGTTCAAAGCATATTTGAGTTATAGTCAGAAAACTGGAAAATCACCTCTTTTTTTATGAATAAAATCCCATAACTCTGAAACGTAAAATCTAAAATTTACAAAAATCGAAAAGGAGCTTACGTGAATAGATATTAACAATTCACCAAAGTTTTATGAAAATAATTGAAAGTGTTTTTGAGTTATTGTCCGATTTGTTGACGACGGACAGAAATGTTCAGTATGTTGAGATCTACCTACTGTCTTTGTACACCAAAGCTTCAGACGACTTTTTATCGGAGTTATTGCCTTTGAATGACGATTTTCCCCATTTTTGAATATTTGCCTTATTTCTTGAAAACTATAATAGATAGAGAGAAACTTCAATTTTCATAAATGATCAGAAAGACAAGCCCTACAAGGCCGAAATTGCCAGGCAACTCCTTATATGAGTAATTGCTCTTAATTGACGAATTTACCAATATTTTTTCTTTTGCGTTTTTGCTTATCATCTTGAAAAGTGTAATAGATAGATAAATAGAAACTTAAAAAGACAAAAATGAACAACAAGACAAGGTCTTCAAATGATTAGACATGGCGGAAATCGTTGGTAGACTTCTTAAATGAGTTATTGCCCTCAATGGCGATTATTACCATTTTTCGCGTTTTTGCTTATTCTCTTGCAATCCATAATAGATAAGGAGACACTATAAAAAAAGAAAATGACCAGGAGGACAAGTTTTATAAAATTGTTAATATGTCTGAAATCTTTGGTCGACTTCCTTTAGGGGTTATTGCTCCTAACTGACGATTTGTACCATATTTTTGGGCATATTTAACGAAAACTATAATAGATAAACGGTAAACAGCAAAAGTAATAAGCAAGACATCACCTGCAAATAGATCAACATTACTGAAATTGTCAGAAACTCCTTACAGGAGTTAATGCCCATTAATGATGATTTTTACCCATGTTTTTGCATTTTTTTCCCTCGCCTTTACTGGAGGGGCTTTACGTGTTACCCTTGTCTGTCCTTACGTTCATCCGTCCTTCCGTCCGTACGAACGTCCCAAAATTGCCTCAACCAAATATGCGAAACTTATACACAATGCTTATTACCACTTATTTTGGAAAACAATACTAGATAGATAAATACTTTAATTTACAAAAATGATCAGCAAGATTAGATTTTAAATGACGTTTATTACAATTTTTTGCGTTTTTGCTTACAGTATTATCTTGAAAACCATTAAAGATAAAGAGACACTAAAATAAAGAAAAAATTACCAGCAAGGCAAGGTCTACAAAAAAAAATTTTTGAAGGACAATTTCTAAAACGTTTTTGCTTTATAATTATCTTTATTATACTATAGAAAGCCGGATATAAGATACCAATGTTACGTAATAAAAGTTACGTATGTGGAATCATAGCTAACAAACTCTTTTATTTGTGTCAAAATTTTGGAAAATGTTCGTACCAAATTATGATCTGTATTCCTGTTTTTCTGTGATGAACATATATATTCATTGAAGCACGAGACGTCGCTGCATACATGCGCATATCGAACGAACTGCAAAATGTATTCTACTTGAGAAAGATCCAAAGCAACATTATCATTAAGGAATAGAAAGTTAACAATAAGAATTAAAAAAAATGTCCCGTTTGTCATCAAGTTTACCATGAGCAATTCTGGAAATATAAGGGATCAAAATGGCAACTTTTTCTTACCAACGGAAGATTTAGGAAGAGTAAATTCAGGCGGAAAAAAATTTAAATTTAGAAACTCTAGATTAGTTAAGAAAGAATATGTCGTCCAAACATTTGCAGGTATTTTTGTATTAATATCTTTTATGTCTTTATGGAGTTTGATCATTAACTGAGATTCATTACAGTAAAGAAACAACTCATCGAAAAGAGGGACACACACATTCTGTTTTCCCCTTTTTTCCGTATTACTTTTAACCACCACGTTCGAGTTCATTTCGTTTTCCATTCGTTTGATGTTTTTGAGCTTTTGATATTGCCATTTGATACAGGACTTTCCGTTTTGAATTTTCCTTGGAGTTCGGTATTTTTGTTATTTTACTTTTTAATGACAACCAATACACGACTTAATTCAAAGTAGGTAAATAAACTCATCATAGTTACAAAGATTAAAATTTGGTACGCCATGTACGAGCGTTTCGTCTACAAAAGACTCATCTGTTAGGCTCGAATCAAAAAAGTTAAAACGGCCAAATAAAGTACGAAGTTGAAGAGCATTGAAGACCCAAAATTCCGAAAGTTTTTGCCAAATACAGCTAATGTAATATATTCGTGGTTAGAAATTTGATTATAACAGTGTTTTGTTGTAAGCTACCTTGCTGCTTCCTTTGTTCCAGTCCTATAAAATATGACTTCACTTTCTTATTCAATTCTTAAACGTTTTTATACCGATATTTTCATTTTTTTTTTAACGTGGCACATTGAAAGAGAAAAATAAATAGTAAAAATAAAAAAATGAATAGCAATGAAAAAGAAAATATCAGAAATAAATAGAAATAGAAAATAATGCCCCCGAGGTCATATGTTATAGGACTACCTTTATTCTAATGTATGAAAATATTACATTTAATTACAATGTCATTATTTTTTAAGTGCGTCATTATGAAAACAATTAACTAGAATGTTATAAACCTAACGCAATGGCATGCTATGCCATGTCATACATTGCAAAACAAAACAATGGTAGTTATCAAAGAAGTACTTGACATTATACGTTTTAGTACTCTCTAAGAAACAAATTATTCCTATGAATCGTATTTACATCATTAACCTTTTTGATAGGTCCAGTAGCCAGTATTCTTTGTACGAAGTTTACTCCGAGATGTGTTGTTGTGAGTGGTGCTATTTTGTTTGGGATTGGTTTACTGATTTCAGCATTTGTTCCCCATTTTGTAATTTTGTACATCACCTTCGGAGTTATTACAGGTAATTTAGTACTCTAAGTATAAAAAAATGATTGACACTGTAAGAACACATGGCTGCATGCTTGAAATCTCATATTGTCGGAGGAAGCTGGAGTACCTGGATAGAACCATCAAACTTCGTCTTAAAAAAAAAACTGGCAATTTTAGTCAAATGAGAGTGAAGTCGAACTCACCTTGCCACGTGCGGAGTTCGATGATTGATTGATTGTTGGTGTTTTAACGCCACTTTTAAGCGACACATTTCGGCTATTTCATGGCGGTCAGTTTTTATAGGTGGAGGAATCCGGAGTGCCCGGAGAAAACCACCGACCTTCGATAGGAAAACTGACAATCCTAGTCAATTAAGATTGGAGTCGAGTGCACCCGCACGAGCGGGGTTCGAACTCACAACCTCAGTGTGAGAGCGGAGTTCGAACTTACAACTTCAGTGTTGAAAGGCTAGTGATATTAACTATTATACATAATAGATGAACTACTTACTATCCATTAATAAGAAAAAAAAAGTTGTAGGACAAACAATAGAGCAATCTAACAATAAACAAAAACAAAAATTAAATTGTCATGGAATGATGTCTGTTATTGAAAATCTTATATTGACCATAAGATGTTTTATTTGGATTACATGCATGTATCGTTTTGTTGGGTTGCTGTCCGTATACCCTTTTTTATCAAGCAAAGTAACTACGAGAGGTACAATCAGTAAGAATGGAACACTTATTTCAATATTTCTGACATAAAGTATATATATAAAAATATTAAAAACAAGTATGAAGCGTATTTTCATCAATTCTTAGAGTTACTGAGCGCCGCTCCAAGGACCTTTATCTGAACGCACTCGAAAAATCAGATTTAGTAATATAAGAGTTGAACAGTACATCCTCTTCGATCCTAATACTAGTATGTTTATACTACAATGTGTTGTAGGTATTGGCAAATCACTTGCTTACCAGCCAGGTCTAGTGGTGGTTGGCCAGTATTTTAAAAAGAGAAGAGGAGCAGCTGTCGGTTTGGCAACAGCTGGTGGCGGGATCGGCACATTGGTCTTACCACCGTTGTTTGAGACAATGATGAATCACTATGGGTTTTCTGGTGGACTCATGATAATTTCTGCCATTGCATTACATATGTGCATCAGTGGAATGTTATATAAATCACCAACAAGGAGAAAGCTACATAGACAGTCACTTATGTAAGTTTTTATGCCCTACCTAGGGGCATTATGTTTTTCGGTCTGTACGTCCGTTCGTTCGTCCGTCTGTTCCGCTTCAGGTTAAAGTTTTTGGTCAAGGTAGTTTTTGATGAAGTTGAAGTCCAATCGACTTGAAACTTAGTACACATGTTCCCTATGATATGATCTTTCTAATTTTAATGCCAAATTAGAGTTTTGACCCCAATTTCACGGTCCACTGAACATAGAAAATGTTAGTGCGAGTGGGGCATCCGTGTACTATGGACACATTCTTTTTGTGAATTGCATATGTACTTTATAGATAGAAAAAAGAGTCGGAAGATACCAAAGGGAGAATCAAACTCAGAAATCGAAGAGAGACCAACAAAATAATGGGATAAAAGAGAAAAACGACAAAAACACAGTTTACAAAATACTACATAAAAAACTAAAGACTGAGCAACTACTCAATAATTCAAGCACTAAGTCGTTGCGAGTATTAAAAAAATGTGAATGATTTTAACCTTTTTTCTAACATAAAACACAATTAAAACTATGCCATTTTTATTAGTCCTACACCTTTGAGTTCACCAGAAAATTTAAATTTATTCGTTATAAGTCTACTCAGAAAGTTATAAGTAATAAGTTATAGAATCATTTGCAAAACAGTGTAGCCGAGACCATTGATTGGCGCTCTAAAATATCCCATTGACTGGGTCAGATTAGGTGAACGTTCGTCTGTAACGCCCACAACTCACGACGTATTTATTATAGACATTTAAACTGTGGGGTCACCAAAGGGTCTCAACGCCTAAATAAAATAATTCGAAAAACTAATCAGGAATAACCTTTGTGTTTTGATTTATATTGAATACTTAAACGTTCTTTACTTGTGTTTTTGTTATGTTTTGATAATGAATTTTTATGATATCGGAAGGATTTAACTGGCTTTAAAAGTTACAATGGATGTGTTGATTATCATCTTTTTTTCGGACGTCAAAGCGATTTAACAATTGCGGTTGTCCAATTATGTCATCTTTTAACTTTTATCTGGTCAAAATTTTATTTTAGAACGAATGCATGATCAACTTTAAAAAGTGTGCAAACACAAAACATATAGACAAAATATACTTCTTTCCTGTCTTTTTCGTAATTGCAATTGACAGTAAAAAGGCTATTTGGATCAAGCCTTATGAAATTTGCATTTACGTTTTTGAATAGGTACAGTCAAGTTTAGCGATTGATAATTCATTGATAACATTCTGGCGTATCACAAACAAACAACTTGTAACGTCTCATTTCATTGGCCGAAAGATTTAAATACAACAACAATTGTAGTGTGCACGTGAATTGACACAGGTGACCGACAATGGAATGTACTACGTTACTACGAACGTAAAAAAACAATGATTTTTGGTCAAAATAATTAAATAAGTATTTTGTGAATTTCAAATAGTGGGGTCGAAATATTATACTAATAATTTGTGTTAAGTAATATTCTTTATGCATGCAGCACTTGTATCGCACTATGAAAAATTTAAGGATTAAATAAAATGCATGTGCCGCTTTTATACGGATGAATGTATGAACCACTTTAATTTCTTTCATATTGACGCTAGGTTATTATCCTGACAATGTCGTAGTTACTTATAATAAGGATCTCATAATACTGATCCATTTCAAATTTATGATGGGTTGCACATTCCTCTTTTATTGTTTTCATGCTATAAAACGAAAATAAAGTAGCTAAGCGTTTGGTCATTCAGAAATGACGTGTCATAAACGAGCAAATTGTCCCCGAAAGATCGTATCATGTGTGCACGTGAATATAGATGTACTTTACAATGTACTATCATGGTCACCACGAAATTCAAATGAATTCAGTGAAGGCATGTTGGTGTAAAAAGGTTTGAAATGTTTCATCGGCGAAGATTTTATTTTTGCATGTGTGGAACTAAAATATAAATAAATACTTGTGAGAAATGTCGTAGTTTATAAGGAACTATATAAATGTACTGTTTTCGATTTTAATTGGTTGAAAATTTATCCTTTAATTTCATACCGTAAGAATAGAGCTTTGCATAATATTGTTGAACTATCCGCCAAAGTAACGTGTGGCATGCGTGCGTATTAAAATGAAATACAAAATCATACATGTATGATAAACTTATAAACGAAATATTAAGAAATTAAGGATGACTACTGTAAAAGTATGTACAAAAATGGAGTCACCTTTTATCAATACATTTAGTGAATAACCACACTGTTTAAAACTGATTGTTTTCTATGCAACTATTTAAATATTTACAATATATAATTTTCAACCGAGGATAGCAAAACAGTTAATTATAAATTAAGAAAGTATATCGCTGGAGTTTATAAAGTACATTTCCTTCCACTGTGCCATGGTTTGCCATCTCCATTTTTTCTCTAAACAAAGCATGGCTGGTTACATGTTCTGAATTTACTTAGAATTTCGGGATTTATTTTTCAAAATCAAGTAAACTAAATCAGAAAAAAATCACACTATCCTAAAACTTATGAAAGAATATGAATAATGAACATGACAGTTTATAACACAAACCCATTTACTATAAAAATCGAGCAATATCTTTAGTATGTAATTTGGTTATTTTTGTAGTTAAGTACGGTTTCATTTCAAGTACAACGTTAATTCATCAAGTCCATTGAATAAAAGATAAAGCAGGGTGAGCAACTTGAGAAAAAAAAGGCAGGATGACGATTTATGTAAAAAAAATCAGGATAAACTAATAAATATAGTCAGGACCTAACAGACTGAAAAATAGAAAGACAGGACAGAGAAAACAACTAAAAAAAATGCAGGACAAAATGTTTCATCCAAGTCCCCCACCCCCAATCAAAATAAAATGGTAGCTCCCTTAATCCAGAACCAATTGAGAGGAGACAGTTGAATTAAATATTTCGACGTGACTGTTAAGATTAAAGTTTAAAATTTTACATGAACATGTATAAAAGCTAGAATTGCCATGGGATAATCAAGAACACAATCATGTACGTGAATACGACGATGGAAGTTTTTAACGACCTTGACCGGCTACGTGAATACTGATCAGTCCATTCAGCTTTATAGTACGCGTGTTCTATTTTCGCAGGTGTGAGGTCGAAGGTTTGAATTGACCAATGAAAACGATCGTTCCTTAACGAGTTAATCTAATAAAGTTTGTTTGACTGATTATGTTGCACGACCTTTCGCTAAGCTTGGCCGCAGTTCAGTATACAATGTATAGTTTGCAAATGATCGCAAATAAAATATGTATATAATAAACTGTGCACTGTAGTTCGTATATATACTGAGACCCTTTGGCAACCCCACAGTTTAAATGTTTATAATAAATACGTCGTGAGTTGTGGGCGTTACAGACGAACGTTCACCTAATATGACCCAGTCAATGGGATATTTTAGAGCGCCAATCAATGGTCTCGGCTACACTGTTTTGCACATGATTCTAAGTTATAAGTCTACGAACCGCACCAAAATCCGAGGGTGTTATTAGGACTGATAAATTATTCCAATTCCAATAGACAACTAGCCAAATAGTCAAAAACATTATACATGTAGTTGCCCCCATAGGACAGATTGAGCATAAATACGACAAAAATGATGAGTGTACAATGATAAAAGTAGGATACCGATTATGGATGCTCCATTTCTGAGTAGATTTATAACTTAGGCGAATAAGTTTAAATTTTCCGGTGAACTCGAAGGTGTAGGACTAATAAAAATGGCATATTTTTAATTGTTTTTTATGTTAGAAAAATGGTTAAAATCATTCACATTTTCTTTTGATACTCGCAACGACTTAGTGCTTGAATTATTGAGTAGACACCCGTTTACTGTTAAAGATGACATCGCACTCTATAGTTTTCTTTTGGTTATTTATGTCCTCTCATGGACGTATACCCCAAAATCTCCTTTGACTCATTTTAATGATTTATCATTATAATTTGGTTTGGAGAAATTCGTTGTCCCATACCGTTTATTACTCGAGGGTTTTCAAAATGCAAAGTGGCATACGTGTATTTATTAAAAAAAAAATACGTTCTCATGTTTGACAAATTTCATGATTGAGGTTGACAAGCGAACAATGCTACCGGATATTTGTCTTTACGTTATACCCGATCATGCCCATTGCCAGCGTTTTCACTACGTATTCCTATACAGACCCAAAATGCAGATTACTGTGGATTCATTATTATTCGTTGGGTACCAATTTTTCGTGGATTTCGTGGGTACAGGTAAACCACGAATTTAAATGTTCAACGAATTACACATTTTCTATAAGGTTGTATGCTGACTTTGGCAAATCCACAAAATCAATTATCCCCGAAAATGCAAGTTTCTCTCTATCAACGAAAATTGGTACCCACGAAAATAAATGAATCCACAGTATCTGTAGAATTACTTAAAAAATAAATCTAAGATCCATAGAATAATATTTGAAATTTGCATGAAAACCGAGAATAAATTTTGCGTAACATTAATCTTCTAAATGCCCATTATCACATATTTGCAGTAATATTACAATAATAATTTTTATCAAGTTTTTCGTTGACATAAAGGAACGACCATTTGGTATTCTGGGGATAAAAGGGCATCCAAATGAATCATGTATTTCCATTTGTTGCTACGCATACTTATTTTTTTTCCGCGGCATTGCTGCAGGAAAATTTATTTTCTATTTTGTACATATTTGTATCCTCAACTATCCTACATTTCATGTTGCATATTCATTATCCTCCTGTCTTGTGCAAAGTCATTTATTTTCAGTTCTTACCCGGCCAAGTTATTCCTTTTTTTTCAAAATCCTCCTGCATCCCCACGATAAAGTCAAAAGGTTGACTTTAATAAAATGACTATTGTATACCAACCAGTGCATTTTGATCATATCAATTTCTTTCATTGCAGATCACATTCATGTGAACGTTTTCACGACAGCAGACTCTTGAATAGCAGTGATTCAACAGAGTGCCAAATAACGGAAACAGAAGAACAAAGTAAAAAAGCGCCAAACAAATATCACAAACTATGGATAGGAAGGTGTCTAAGATCTTGTAATACTGTTAAAGACAAAGAATCTTCCAGTAAAAAGTTAGATTTTTCACTTCTCAAAAGACCGGATTTTCTAATGTTCTGTGTTGGAATAAGTTTTCTAGCTTTATCGTTTAACTCTATGTTAGTATTCATTCCACCTCTTGTAAAATCCAGAGGTCTGACTGGTATAGAAGGGGCATATGTTATGTCAGTTGCTGGTATTTTCGATACTATTGGACGAATAGCTTCCGGTTTTATATTAGAAATGAAACGTCTGAGAAATTTCCGAAAACTATTATACAATACTGTTATGTTCATGTTAGCGCTTGTGATTTTTTCCCTTCCATTTACAGTGACGTTTGTTGAATTTTGTGTTGTTGCCGCCATATTTGGATTGCTTATAGGAACATACACTTCTCAGAAGTCCGTGATATTAGTGGATATTGTCGGTTCTGAAGCTCTAAATAGTTCGTTCGGAATACTGATTTTCTTTCAAGGAGTTGGAACTCTAATAGGTCCACCAATAACAGGTAAGATGACATAGTTTATTAAAAGTATGTCAGATTTATTTATGGATCATCAAAAATAAGGAGATATGGTATGATTGTAAATGAGACAACTATCAGCCAGAGTCCAAATTACGTGGATGCAAGCAATTTATTGGGTTATCATATGGCCTTCAACAATGAGCAAAACCCATACCGTATAGTCATTTATAAAAAGTTCCGACATGAGAAAATGTGAAATATTTCAAAGCTTGATTTTTTTATAATACATATACAATGAATGAAGAAAACAAATATTACAAGACAATTAAAATAGAATGATGAACTGGGTAATGTGTGCCATAAAAAAAACCCCCGTTGAAACTTCATTTATAGAATTATTTGAAGAAAACATAAGAAAAAGGATTATACATAAATTGACGTATAATCCTTCAATTAATGATCATTCCTGGTCTGTTAAAGTTAGCTTTAGCTAATGCTGTTGAAACACGAAACACGTTTATAGAATTGAAAAAATAAAAATGTTACAATTTAGTTGTTGATTGTATTTGGAAAGGGTAGGTGACAGGAGTGGTGTCTGTAATAATAGTTTGTGTAATATGGAGCTAAAACATTTTAGGAACTTTTGATTTTATAATAATGAACTTCATGGACTCAATATTAAGTACATTATGTAACTCATGGACTTCTTTATCATGTTTATGAAATCAGGAACTCATTTGAATTAATAAATATCCATAACATATTTATGAACCAAACTTGGCGAGCAATTAATAAACTAAAGATAATGAATTCAATTTCTTGTTATGAAACCTTTCAAGAACATTCATCACGCGAAGACCAAGATGAGAGGACAAGCGCCTGATTAGGCATACACCCATCAAGCAGTATTGTAAGGCAAGATCTTTTCTGTTTAGGTGTTTTAGGCATTTTTAAACTTTTGTTAACTGTTATTTTGAAAATATATGTGCTGTTAACTGTTATTGAATTATTAGCTGTTATCTATTTTCTTAAAATTGACATTGTTGTTAACTGTTATTATGAAACAAAATACCCATGTAAACTGTTTTGTTTTAATCTTTGAAAGATCATTTAAATTGCTGTTATCAATTATCAGTATTTTAAATTTACTGTTATCTGTTTCGAGCAAAATCAAAAATTGTCAACCTGTTAATGGACCCCCTCTTGTAACATGATATAGAAACAACATAGCTTTCTTAATGATGATAATTTCAATCAGCCTTGAATTATTTTTTGCTAAATTATAATGTATCATATTGATATGCAGACATGCTCAATTAAAAAAACATGATTAATCATTTCCTGTAAAAAAAATATTTCTTTCAAATTGGAAATCGCACAGAAAAGGGTATTATTTGTCAGCTAATATTGCACAGACGACTTAGTTACATACATCGGGTTTCTTGTGGTGTACAATAGGCATTTTTATGTAATACAAATGTTGAAATTAAATCATACAGAAGACTTCAATGTAAAACAGTCACTTGGAACACAGTAAAAGTATTAAGACAATAAGATTTTTTTTATAACTTATAGTAAACCATTTAGAGAAAATGCAACTATGGTCAGTTTATACAAGTAAATAATGTCAAAGATATTGCATTATAAAATTTGCAGTTCCTCAGTAACATGAATACACCGGTTCTCTCAAACTCCAAAAACGAACATGACCTCAAGTAGTCAAGAAGCCCACTGTCATTACAAGCTATATAGTTTAACCAGATATTTTTTTTTCTGTCACTATACAATTTATCTTTTCAGGTGTATTTAAAGATGAATATAATTCCTATGCTGACGGATTTTTCTTTATTGGATCAACGACATTCATTGGTGCTTTTATTTTATTGCTTAGCAACACTGTAAAATGTAACAAATGTAAACCAGAATTCTCTATCAAATAAACGAGTTTTAACATACTTTATATTCTTCTGAACCATAAAATGGAAATATTTGAACTACTTTATTATGTACATAGGTAACAATTACGGTGATTATATGTGTGTATAATTATTGTAATGAGGATATGTTCCAGACCATATGAGTCTGTGTTGATGTTTTCGTTGTAGAAATTTTTCATGTTTCGTATCTGCATTTTTTTAAGTTAGTTTATCTTCAAGATTTTCTGTCAGATGTTTGATAATTTTCATTGAGTGACAACCATACAGTCTTTTTCGCTTGTACTTCGGTATTTCTAAATAGTATGCAGAGAAATGTCGGTTACTCAGTCCGAAATATTCTACAAGAAACTTATAGGTATCTTAAACTTGAACGTTTACAAAGATTAATGCAAATATGAAATCCTAAAAATTAGCTTTTAATATAGTTTATTATATTTTGAGACCTTTTGAAAGCATAAGCACATAAAAATTATAACAAGATTTACCAAAGATAGTGGACAGTACAACAGACCACCCCAACCACCCGCACGACTCCCACCTCCCCCCACACCATTAAAAGAGGTACACACAAAGACAAACAACATTGAACAACACATGTTAAGATAGCTTGACTGAAATATATATATGAGTCGAGCCATTTCATGTATGTGAAGTTAGCGGCTGGTCCGTTATTCGTTATTCGATATTCAATATCCAACTGGCTGCTAGCAGTCGGTTCGATATTCAAATTTTCTTATATGAAAGTAATAAAAATTCAAACATTCGATAACATTACAAGTTGATAGTAATAGTTAAAGTGAGTATACAGAGATGTAGGGAATCTTTTTGAGACCGTAAATTCTCGTTGTCCTCATATATAAACCCTTCTGTGAATCGAATTTCTTTGTATGAATAGAAAAAAGATGTGGTATGAGTGCCAATGAGACAACTCTCCATCCAAGTCACAATGTGTAAAAAGTAAACAATTATAGGTCAAAGTACGGCCTTCAACACGGAGCCTTGGCTCACACCGAATAGCAAGCTATAAAGGGCCCCAAAATGACTAGTTTTAAACAATTCAAACAGGAAAACCAACGGTCTAATCTATATAAAAAACGAGAAACGAGAAACACTTATAAACCACATCAACAAACTATAGATTCTTATCAATAAAATGCAATCAAAGATGTACATTTAAAAGATGATTTTTCAAAAAAACAAAAACAAACGGCCACTTTAGTAAGATTTGAAAATATACAAAACACATATGGAAAGCCAAAAAAATATACTTTCGATTGACTTCATATTCAAAATATATACAGATATACATGTAAGGGCCAAGGGCGTTGGCTAGATCTTCCTGATATCTCAATCTTCATAATATTATGCATATAGTTAGTTATTAACTTAATATATAGATACAAATGGCATCAAAAGAAAATTAGGTAAAGTTTTCGTCTTCTATGTTTACGGAGGGCCCAAAGTGCCGGTTTTTGATATTCAAAATATATAGTGAAAACCTTCCGGAGACCGCTGAAAATACAGTGATACCCCCTAGTCTTTCAATGTCCATAAAATTTGATGATCTTTTAGACAACTTATATATACAGATCCTTTAAAAAGGAATTCCCAGAAAAATGTCATTTCCGATATGTATGGAGGGCATAAAGTGTCACTTTTCAATTAAAAATCGTCGAAAATTAAGGTATAAGGGCCCAGGGCAATTGCTAGATCTTCCGGAATACTCAATCTTCATAATATTATGCATATAGTTAGTTAATATAAGATACAAATGACACTAATATTATGACGATTGAGAGATCAGAGAGGTCTAGCCATCGCCCTGTGGCCTTTACCTGAATTTTCGACGATTTTTAGCTGAGAAGTGACAATATCTTTTTCTTTTTTGGCTTTCCATAATTATTTCTATTTGTATTTTTTAATATTACTAGAGTGATCGTTTGATCTTGTTTCTAGAAATATCATGTATAAAAGTACATCTCTGATAGCATTTTATTGATAAACATCAATTCTATATTTCATAAGACAAATGTGCGATTTACATAAGGGTTTATATTTGAGAACAACGAGAATTTACGACAGCTTGAAGTGGTCTTAAAACGATATCCTACATATCTTTTTACTCCTTTTAACTATGACTATCATGCTTTTAATGTTATCGAATATTATTTTTTTTTATTATTTTCAACTAAGAAATTTGAATATCGAACCGACTGCTAGCAGCCAGTTGAATATTGAATATCGAATAACGAAAAACGAACCCGCCGCTAACTTCACATCCACAGCCATTTCAACTGATTTTTACAATTATTTATATTTTGTGCTTTTATACCACTATTCCATGTTAGCGAGGACGGTTGAGCGCCCACACACATGTTTAATCCCGCCACATTCTATATGTTGATATCCCAAGTCATGAGCCTCCTAATTTAGTGGTTGTCGTTGGTTGCTATCTGTTAGTTTTGTTTTGTCATAAATTTTTATTTTTTATTTTTGGTTTTTAAATTTCCCATTTTGTCATGTCGCGACCTTTTATAGCTCATTATACGGTATCAATTTTGTTTTTTTTTTCTTGAAGGCTGTACTGTAACTTAAAGTTGCATAAGTGGACTCTCTTTGAAAATTTACATACCACATCTCCAAATTTTATATTTGTACAGACACAAAAAGAAGTGAGTTTCACAAGCACGCACACCTCCCACGTTGACTATCCATATATCGTTATTTTTAAAGTAAACCACACAGAACAAAACTGCACAATCATGCTACCGCTAGAATGACCACTAACGTGAAAAAGGGAAATAATAGACAATTGTTATGTCGCTCGTTTTTTCCCGCCGTGTTTCCATTATAAGTAACAATGTTTATTGATAACATTAAAGGTACCAAATGTATTACATCAGATGAACATTTCGACAATACATGTCTCTACAGTGATGCTCGAGGTCCAAAAGTTGGAGAGCTGTGAAAACATAAAAACAAAAAAATATTCAAAAGTCAATCAATACCCGGACAAAGAATCAGAGCTGTGCAAAAGGGAGATATATTCTTTAATTTAAGATGGGTTTCAAAGCTTTATAACGGCAAACTTCAATAAAATAATATCCGTATTTTCCTGCCAATATTTACGTTACACTCCACTAGCAAAGGAGTCGAACCAGTGGTAGTCACCATGTTTCTTCAGTGATGTTTGAGGCTAAAACAATTGAAAATACATATCTTACACAAAAGTTGAAGAGCTTATAAAACTGAAAGTAACCTGAAGTAAAAGCCAAACTCGGAAAAGCCGAATAGCAACACGCAATATCATGTGTTCATTGGCGACATGTCAAAGACTCTGAACTGCGAAAATTTATTTTTTAATTTGCATTATTATTATTAAAAAAAATGTATTAATGATAATTTTACTAAAGAATGTTCGATTCTAACATTTCCCCATTATATTTTGTAACTTAAGAAGCGAACACGAAAAGACATCTTTAGATATTATAGATATCTATAACGCATGTCAAACCGTCTTAATTGTGAAAGCCATAAATGAATTGTGCAATTATAACTCCAAAAATAAAATATGATAAGAACATATGCATAAAAACGGAGCTACATTATTGGACTTTCACACATGCAATAAACAAAGCTTGTATCGAAAAGAGGATGTATAAAATATCATATTTATATTACATTTAGAAGTTGACGTCAAGCATTCATAAGAATTTTTGTTGCGTAAATGTCAAGGAGACTACAACCTGAAATAAGGATAAAAGCTGAAAGCTGCATATAGGTCAGCATACAGCCTTATGTCAAGCTTATAAAAATTGTATGTCCATTTTTTTCAAAAAAGTCTTTCGATCTTTAGTGAAATTCACAGTATCACAACTGAATTGGCGTACTTTGAGTTTATAACAAATTTGTGTCGAAGATCTACATCTGAAAAGGTGAGCAAATTATAGATTTCTAAAGATGATTTATAATCCATAGATAAAAGCAAATATTAGATTGGGATTATTTGCTTAAATTAAAACTCTACCAGAAGAATAGTACACAATGTCTTTCAGATTGAACTTAACTTTGTTTGGTAAGCAACAATGTAATATATTTTCCCTCATGTTTAGATAAACTCCTGTTTGTTTGCAGACAACATTTTGCCTTTAAAGATGATAAGAAATATAGAGGAAGGCATGAAGATAAGAGATTTAACTTTTACGTCTACTTTTCTTTCTCTTTTGTGATCTGCAGCAGTTCCTTCCATATATTGACACATATTTCAAGATGAGAACATATTAAATAAATTAATCTCATATTGAAGGAACTGCTGCAGATCACAAAAGAGAAAGAACAATGAAGACGTAAAAGTTAAATCTCTTATCTTCATGCATTCCCCTATATTTCTTTGCAGATTATCATCTTTAAAAGCAAAATGTTGTCTGCAAACAAACAGGAGTTTATCTAAATATGAAAAAAAATATATTATATTGTTGTTTAGCAAACAAAGTTTAGTTTAATCTGAAAGACAATTGTGTACTATTCTCTGGTAGAGTTTTAATTTAAGCAAATAATCCATATCTTATTAATTGCTTTTATATAGAAATAAGAAGATGTGGTATGAGTGCCAATGAGACAACTCTCCATCCAAGTCACAATGTGTAAAAAGTAAACAATTATAGGTCAAAGTACGGCCTTCAAACACGTTGACTTGGCTCACACCGAACAGCAAGATATAAAGGGCCCCAAAATGAGTGTAAAACAATTTAAACAGGAAAACCAACGGTCTTATCTATATAAAAAGCAAGTGAGAAACGAGAAACACTTATAAATCACATTAACAAACGACAACCACTGAACAACAGGTTCCGGACTAAGACAGGTGCAAACAAATACAGCGGGTTTAAACGATTTAACATTCGCCAACCTTCACCCCAACCTGAAATAGTAGTGTTACATTACAACATAGAAAGACACACTATAAAATATCAATTGAAATGGCTTAACTCAACCAAAAAGAAACATTAACAAAAACA